AATCAGGCTACCCACCGAGCTCTACGTGCGCCGCAGCACGCGGGATGTAAATAATGGGAACGTGAAGTGATGGGGTCCCCTTTTGAGATTTAACCGAGAAAAATAAACTGCAATTATACTATTTACTGCAGCCTAAACAATGCTATTCTGATCGTTGAGTGCATTATTTAAATTTGCCCCTAACTCCCTTTTATTTGAACATAATTTTCTGTCTTCGGATGACTAAAACTCAGCTTGAAGCATGTAAATGTATCTATTTCATATTAAACGGAGACATGTAAATTAAGGTTAAGTTTAAAATCGGTTCTTTTAACTGCAGTTTAATCTATGCATTCATTAAAGTGTTTCTCACATCACAGGAATTGTAAATTGTAGGTTTTGCATAAATATTTTACATAGATTGGTGGACTTAAACACCTTATTGGATCTTTTAATGCTTCTTGCACATAGTGTTCTGTTGGTCCCATGTCAGAGCAGAGCACCTTCTAGCGGTTTGCAAACGCTTAGGTCAGTCTGAACTGGGCAAAGATTGAGCAAGAAGGGTTGTATCGGCAACCAGTAAAAGACTTTATGTTTTTATGCTGGTTTTTAAAAAATCTTTTATGAGGGACTGCAACCTTGCCAAGTAGATGATTGTCTCGCCTTTGCACGGCGGTTCACATTGCGCTACAACGTGCGAAATGTGGGTTTACAAGGCAAAGACAGTAATACTGTCGATAACGGGGTCAAATCGAAGCATGACTCCTGCAGACTGCAGCCGTTGTGATTACAGCAGGAGTCATGCTCAGTCACACAGGAGGAGAACATGTGAATATTAATTTGCTCTGTGCTTACTGACTTCATTCTGATCCCGTTGTTTTGCACACTGTTTTTGTTTCCTTTAAAAAAAACTTGTTTTAGCTTTGTTTCTCTGAGAAATATTTTGTATCCTCAGAAATACCTTGGGAAAAAAAGTGGCCTGTCTGTTTAAATAACAAAGAGTCCCAGTGAGAGATACATGGCAAAGGAAACATCACGTTCATAGAAGATGCTCTGGCTTAAGCCTGGAATGTCTGAGCTTTTGAACGGCCGACCTTTTCACCCCTGATCTCATTCTGAATCTTTCACTCTGAATTCTGCAGTCAGGCTGGTGGCATTCTGCGAGGTCCCTAAAAACATGCTGTTGCTATTTTGGGGGGGGGGGGGAAACACCTGCAGGGCAGAGGAGTGTTAAAGTGCTAACCTAATTCTCTGGTAACAGATGTTGCTGCTCATTGGTTCCCCAATAGATGCCCTCGGGTGTATTTTCCAGTTACCTCAGAAGTGGTTGTGAAATCTCTCATGTTACAGTTGGCTCTATTTGTATATTTGTTAACGTGAACGAGCCGATACCGATCTGAAGAATTTGGCGTTTGTGCGATGGGTATCTTATCTCTGGCTCTCTGTCTCCCAACAGCGCATCCGGTGCCAGCGTGGTCGCCATCGACAACAAGATCGAGCAGGCCATGGTGAGTTTTCCACACGCGGAAAAGCCATAACGAGAGCGGTCAGGCGACACACATTATCCGATGGCCTTGGCAACAATTTGTTTCATAACCAGTTTTCCACCGCTGACGCAACTAAAAAGGTTACCATTGCAGCAACTGTGAGAATTGATTTGATTGTAACAGTTCCCATTCATAAAGTTCACAAAAGAACTTTTCTCTTTTTTCTTTTCCCTGCTGGTCTTTACGAGATAACAAAGCAAAGTACCTCCGTAGTGTTGCCTAACCCTTTTGATTGACAAGTGATCTCATAAAGGAAGCATTTTCTTTCCTTCATGTTGCCAAAAAAGAGATCACACCTCAGCCCTTTAAGCCCTGAGATTATGAGATTATATTTTTCTTTTCTCTTCCTTTAGGAACCCGTAATCTGTTTGGTTCATGACTACTTGCCAAAAGAATGAGCTAATTTTAGTTTTTTTCTCTCAGGACCTGGTGAAGAGTCACCTGATGTATGCGGTTCGGGAGGAGGTGGAGGTGCTGAAGGAGCAGATAAAGGAGCTGTACGAGAGGAACTCTATGCTGGAGCGCGAGAACGCGGTGCTGAAGTCTCTGGCCAACACGGAGCAGCTCAGCCAGCTGACCAACCAGCTGGTCAGCGCCCCGCCGTCCCTGCAGCACCACCAGCACCCGCTGCTGACCAACGCCCCGTCCCTGGTGCACCACGAGGGGGGTCAGAGCATCCCCCACCACCCCAACATCACCTCGGCCTGAGCCTCCCTCCCCTGTCCGCGCACATCCAAACACACGCCTTCCCAGGACGGGAGCGGGGGAGATCCTGTCGGCGAAAAAAAAACCAGCTCCTGCCACAGCCCCACGGCGCCAAAGGCGCCAAAGGCCGGGCTCTGCTCGCCGCGCTCCATTCCAACGCAAGTCAGCAGCATCAGCGCCTTTGTTTGCCATCACCGTCGGGCGTGCACGTCATCCAGACCCTTACCAGCCTTCTACAAAGTCTTATCCCAGCCCAGTGTCCAGCTGCGGGCCAAGTTGAAAGTTAAATGGGGGGGGGTGGGGGGAAAGAGGAGAGGAGTTTTTTAAAAAACTGAATGTCGGTCTCCTCGAGGAGACGGGGCTCACGAGCAGCAAGAGCTCGGCGAGTCGGGACGGCACGCCGGACCACGGTGGTGACAGGGGTCCAGCGGGGACACTCCAGGGGCCGCAGGAGGCCAGCGGAGGCAGGGGGCGGGGCCGAGGAAACGGGGGCGCCGGTGGGTGCCCCGGCTGGGGCCCGAAGCGGGGGAGCCGGAGCCCAGGCCCGTCACATGCTGCAAGGAAAAGCTCAGAGCCACAGTACTTTGACATGAATCCTAATTCTCATCAGTTCACTTTTTAGTATTTGCATTTTATTTATTTCAGGGCTGCTATTTTCATAATGTAAATGAACAATGTCGTGGAGATGCTTATTAAAAACAAAAAAAGAAGTTCCTGTCGGTCTTTTTTGGTATTTTAAAAATCTGTCTGGTATACAAATTTGGTATTTTCTTGCAACAAGTAGATCTCAGAAGGTAGGCAATAAGTTCCATAACAGAAATTCTTGTCATGAACTAGAGCTAACACTAAAGCAGAGCTTTCATTAGGTGAAATCCAGGTTGAATGTATATTTTGTAAAGTATTAAGCGCGTGGAGGGTTTGTGCAGGAGAACCTGTTGAGTGTGACGTATGCGAGAGGATGTTTGATAAAGAAAACTATTAATGTACTTTTTCTAGACTCTCTTTGTCAAGGTGACAAACTGAATTGGAATTTGATGTTCGGTGGGGGGGAGGGATGAAAAGCTGTGAAATCTTTTTTTGTTTTTCTTCTATTTTTATTTTTTGACCTACTTTATAACCAAAGACTCAGAGCTGTGTATTTTTTTTTCTGTTTTTAAATTCACACATTTCTTTTTCTATCTCCTTCCCTTTATTTTTTTTTGTTGCTGTTTTGCATGTTCTGCATGATCTATTCTCAGACCACTTTCGTACCTCATGTTTTTAATCCAGCGCTCTTTTTTTTTTTCTTTCTCGTCTTTTTTTCTGGTGGTCTGTGAATGCTTGCGTGAGGATTTACGAACAAGAAAGGGAACGGTGAGCCAAGGAAAGTGGTGGTTGATGGAAGGACAAAAAAAAAAGTTATGTCTATGAGTGTGTGAGTGTGTGTGTGTGGGGGGTGCCTTGTGTGACATTAATAAGAAAAAGAGCCTTTTTTCTGTTTGTTCTTTTGTTCTAATGTGGATTTCAGAGGCAGAGAAAATTGCAGATTTTGATGAATGAATTTAGTTTTAATTGTAATTTGCAACACTTTGCTTAAATGAGGGGGGGGGGTCAATAACTGCAGTATAACCAGACATGGAAACTAAAAAAAAAAAAGCATTTCAGGCCGTTCAGCTGTGTGTGAGCTTATTATAGGATGTCCTGTGTGTCACATCTGTGTGCCTCCTGTGCCGGCGCCTGCTGTGGTCAGGTGACTCGGTTTCTCTCTCTGTGGCTTAGAACCAAACCAAGCTGCTTGGTAATTGTACAATCAGATATCTTTTTAGACTTTTTGATGTCATTTCCTTTTTTTTTTCTTTTTTTCTCTGCAGACGGACTTCTTTGTTGTTTGCTTTTTTTTGTCTTTTTTTTTTTTTTTTTTTTTTTTTTTTTCAGACGGTCTTTTTTGTTTTTTGCTTTTGTTTGGCTTTTTTTTTTTTCTTTCTTCGTCTTTCATTTGAAGGAAATGCCCCCGTACATGCCAAATGTACTGTATGAAAGTGATCACTGAGCCTTGGAAATATCTTAACGGATGCCCTTGTAATGTGCTGTTCAGACGATTTTAGTTTTCAGTCGGAAATAAATAACTGTTTTATTATGAGGATGTCGTCCCGCCTCTTTATTTTCAGTTCATTGTGACAAAAATGGGAAATGGCTCAATGCTTTTTCCTGTGTGACAGAACATTTTCAGTCTGGAAAATGCTGGAATTTCTGTTCTGTCACCGTTGGCTTTTTTTTTCCCCCGCTTTCCCTTATCTCGGAACTATGTCACCTTATATGTCACAAGAGTAAACAGACGAGTGAGTCCTGCTGCAGGTCAAACAAACCTGACCAAAAGGTCACGCCCACTCTTAGAAGCCCAGTTTTTCATAACCGATAAGACAAGAGCTGGGAATACTGGGGAAACTAACATTTTACTGAGGAAAAAGTTCACACGTGAACATTTCAGCCAGTAAAGTAAACATTAAGGACAACTGCCTCTTAGGAAATATAAACTTTTTTAAATTTTAAGTACACTTAATTGTAACTTACTGTTTCTCACAGCGTCCTGATGGAGTTCTTTTGTTTCTCAGTCTCATAGTCTGATGCCAGTAAACATAGTCTCTTGCTCAAAAACATTTGAACAAATGCGCTGGTGAAGAAAAGAATCAAACAGGAGACCCGCTCATCCCACTGAGCTACCGACAGGCCTCATTGGCATGAATGAGTTAGGTCTCTCTGAATTCAGCAAAAATACTGACAAGATTGTTTTTGGCTCCAAACACCGCAGAAATACTCTGTCCAAACCATACAATCACACTGGATTTCCCTCAGGAAGAATTTTTAGGACAATTTGATTTAAAACACTGCGGTGAGAGTTCATTTTTGTTCTTGTTTCTGCTTCTTTTGGTTTATGCCTTGTAAAATCTGAAATCCTTTTTAAACATCAAGTTCTTGGCTGTTGGAGACCTTAATCGTAGCACATTTTTTCTAACACACCCCTTTAGCTCCGGGTCTAAAGGCTCAATTGTGGCTCTGGGAGATTAAAACCTAACAGGGGACACATTGCCTCCTCAGAAAGAATTGTTGAGCTTCTTTTTGTAGACTACCTCGAAGTTATTTAGTTACTGTGTATATTGAATTAAACTGAATTTAATAATTCAGTCAGGCCCCGGGTTGACTCCGCTGTCACCCAGCAGTTCAACATTTATGAGATTCCTCAGAAACTGCATCTGAATCTCTGTGGAATTACATAATGGCTTCATAGGAATCAGTTATGTGTTTTGAAAATACTTCTTTCGAAGGGACTTCTGCCTTTGAAGGAAGTAGTTGAAGGAAGTAATATGACACCCTGAGGCACTAGGTAAAGATGGAATCCTATAGCCCATACCCTTCATCGTCTATCAGCTGCCTGTCAGCTTGAACATAACTCCTCACTTGACTACCCTTCAGAAAAGTGGTTATTTTTAAATCAGCACTTACTAAATGCACTCCTGCAGCTCTGAAAACCAAAACTACTGTGCTTTTTTGCCACCCTCATCGGTCTGATTTCCTTTGGAATCTACGCTCAGGTTTTAAACCTGAGCTTAGTCATCGGGTTGGATTTTATTTATTTTTTAAAACCGGATCTTGTCTGGTGACCTTAGAGGGTAGTTTCCTTAACAAAAGACGTGAGCGAATTTCCATTTAACTATCGGTATTCTATAACCAAATCCATATTTACTGTCCTTAAATACCTCCCCTGTTCCCCTTTTAATGCATGCTGCTTTGAGCATCTGCTTCCAAATGGAAATAGCAGGAGGGACGTGTTTAACGTGCAGTCTGGTCCACGGGGTGGTGACCTCGTTTGCACATGGCTTTAGAAAACACCAGTTTCCTTGGAATGCCGGCTTCTGTGTTTACAGGTGTCATCATGTGAAACCACTTCAACTTCTCCAGCTTTGACATGGTTACGTGTAATCTGATCAGCTGTAATTCAAGTTCCAATGAATCGGGGCTGATATTTGGGCGGCTTTGGACATTTTTTCTTTATTGTTGGCTTTTTCCCTCCTTTTGCCGAAGGTTTCGCTGTTGCCGTTTTTGTTTTGGTATGCCGGAATTTCCTTCCAGTGATGTTCACACTCGTGGAACCGATTTGAACCCTGTCCCGCAAAAACACGAACAGAGGAGACCTTTTAAACTTTGTGGGACAGAGTTTTACAGAGGCTGTATGACCCGAATTCACCCCGGCTAAATTCAATTAAGTGAAATCCGTTTCACTCTCACGGACATGGAGCTCAACGATCGTTGTCATCTCTCGACACCACAGCAAAACATCCCAATTTCCTTTGAACCGGGATTCCAGGTCAGCTGGACTGTACTCTGGACATTACGAAACCTCCAGCAGGAACAACCAGAGGGAGAGCGGCCATCTGCTCGGACCGACCGGGGTGAGGGGAAGGAGACGGGACGAGCACAGAGAGCCTGAATAAAAGCCTTATATGATTTCAGATATACACCGGCCAAAGTTTGAACGGCGTTCCGGAGTGGGCCCATATGCACCGACTAAAGTCCAGATGTTGACACTGAAATGGGCCTCGGTACATCTCAAGTCACATGTCGACCTGGGCCGTAAGAGACCTAACAGAAAAGAGCAAACAGCCAAAGCGGCAAACCGACAAACGGCAAGGGGACCTGGCCCTGCGCCGCCGTGACGGATATCCTCCTCCCCTCCACATACTTTCCACAGATCAAGTGCGGTCATGCCGCCGCGCTTCACAGCTGTGAGTCACAGCGGCCCTCAGCTGAGTTGGGCAAGAAGGGGGAGGCGCTCCAGACGTCACCGCCGGCAACGCAGATCAGATCATTCAGCCCCGTGGATGAAGGGCGAAAAATCTGCTCCGTCCTCCCCCCCACGCCACCGTCACTCTGAAATAAACTTGCTCTGACATGTTTGACTCCTGACACACTTCTTGTGTGTGTCAAAAGTCATGACTCGTCAAACTCCCTTACGCAGCCCATGAGCTGTATGTTACAGTAAAAAGAAAGGAAAAAGCAGCTAAGGCCACTACAATGGACACAGATTTCTATTCTGAGTCACAGTATTTTAGATAATGTCAGCAAAATGTAAGTGGAAGCTGTTTGACTCACGGTGTGTGTGCACATCCTACACACACACACACATTTAGACAAAATCATTCAACACTATGGAAGATAAGTTTTAAAGAACACAGATTTTCCGCTCTGTACTTGAAACATCTCAAGAACTGAACATGTTTGGTGACTGTGACATACTGAAGAATTTCATTGTTGTTTAATCTTCCGAAGCATAAAGGAAGGAAGCGTCATTCAATCCCGGGACGGCTCACATTGCTCTTGTATGTGCGCGTACGTGTGTGTTTTATGCAAGGACAATTACTCACCACTCAGTCATCTACAGCCCCACCCGACAATTTTGTACTGTTATAGAAAGTAGAGCTCTGCTCTGACCTAACTCGCCACCGCCATCAAGTGACGCAACAGGCCGCCTCTCCACAGGAACGAGCGGCGTTCAGGAGAAGGGTGCCATCATGTGGGGATGATAGGACAGCTTCCATCACACCCAATGCACTCTGTGTTGAGTCCAGCAGAAACAAAACACAACACAAAGCCGGTCGTCTTCAACAGAGGGTTTCACTGGGCCTAATGATAATTTTGGCAGGTATAAATCTCCACAGGTCACTATTTTGAGATCATAATTAAGCCAAAGAGTAGGGGGCCAACAGATGTTGATCTGTTTTCAGGTTTCTAAAATAGTTCAACGACTTAAAACTGATATTTTTCTGTCTAAAAATGCACATATACACAAAGGTTAGGTGCTAGACAAGTTATATGTTAAGAAAGTTATAAATGTGTCGGCACCGCTTTAAAAGTTAATTTCTGCTCCTTTTAATCTGATGGCTGAGCAACTGAATTCCCTTATCCATCAAGACTAGATTTTTTAAAAAGTGTCATATGCACAATATAACCAAGTTTCCTTGTGTGATGAAAATATGATTTTGCTGTCTGCAAGAATGAATTTCAAAGTAGTCAAGGTAAAAAAAAGGTAAGGAATATAGAAAAAAATATTCATATCAAACACAAGTAAACAAAACAAAACTAATAGATACACAAATACTGAACAGTGCCTATCAAATGTAAGAGAATGTTGACCTCTGCAGGCGTCTACGCTCCATGACAGTGGCACTGCAGCATTCTGCAGACAGCTGCAGACATTCGGTTTCAATAATTGGGATAATAAAGTAGAATTTTTAACTCCTATTTATTACAATTTAGGTAAATTTTTACAAGAAGTAAAACCTCCTGAAATCCAATTTTGAGACGATTTATATTTATATCATGTCTGTAGAGTGTGACATATGCAAAGGAAGATATTATTATAGTATATAAAGTGGGCAGATACTTGTAGATAAACTGTTTTCACATTTTGGATCTCTTCCAGATTTTTTATTATAGGTCCTATACCTCAATCTTACTAAAGATATGTTTAGTTATTTTCTCTCAACACTGTATTATTACAATTATATAATTTATCTTAGGGCTTTGATTGTGTATCATTTAATTTAACTGACCAAAATGCATATTTATACAAATCTTTCTGCTGATACCAGCACAATTAATAAAATAGTGCAGTATTACTTTCTAACAGCAGGTGGCAGTATTTACTGTGATTCTTTAGTTCAATTTTAAGTGATCTAGAATAATCTATTCCAAACAACCGGCCCTGAATATTTACTCCAGACTTATATGTCGTAAAGTGTTGGAAACACAAGTGAATAGCTTCAAAATTGTGACGATAAGGTTTATTTTAAGAAAAAGAAGTGTCACTGTTCTGCTTGAAAAGTGGGCTGAGCGTTGCACATCATCACCGCCCACTCGCTGAGGAGAGCCGGTCATGCGGCCTCCACTGTTATGATCCACGATTCGGGCTGGAAGTACGATCATGGCAGAAGAGTGTAAGTCCGGGTGACTTATCCAAGCAACCCTGTCATTCCATCAAATTCCTATATATTAGCACAGGAGTCACCGGGGAAGCTGGCGGCCGTGTGGGGGACTCGGTTCCCCACGGAAAACATGGAGGTTATGGCGGAAGGAGAGGCAGAGGAACGCAGGTATGTGACAACTTGGGCAGGGCTGATGACTCGGTAAGCGGGGTTGGGAATGACCGACCTCAGACGAACAACACCTGTGTGAAATGCCTTCATTGATAACTAACTAGCTGTTTAGAGTCAATTATTAATTCCTAAACTAACATGTTGCAGAAGTGTAACACCGGGTTGCTAACTAGCCTAAAATGCTAACTTAGTAGCTACGCTAAGCTAGGTTGACATATTATGGAAGTCATGAGGTAACCGGCAAAAGCGGTAAAGAACTTGTCGAACATTATCCCATTGCTTGAAAGTTTTGCAGCTTCGAGATGATACATATACTGGAAACTGCAAAAATGGCATTTTCACGCAATATCTGTTGGTGCCAAGTATTAGCTATCCTGGTTAAGGTTGTGCTAGCACCCAAAGCTAGTTGTCAAATTTGTTTTCTAGCTGTCAACGGTCGTCTTGTGCTAGAAAGTCAAAGCACCAATTGAAAAGCTTATCAAATAAAGACAAGACGCAACGCAAAGGGATTCTTGTTCTTCATAGGTTGGCTATTAGAAAATGAAATTACAAGTTTGTGTTTACTGAGGTTTATAGGGGATCTTCTACACGCATAATCCAAGTAAATAGCTGTGACATTAATCTTAAACCTCAGCTTTTGGATTCAAGGACTGTCATTGCTTAAATTCATCATGCTCTGCAGTATGCAAAAAATGTTGCTCTAACTTTAAACCAATTAAGGGATGTTATTTGATTAGTGGCTCACCACCTGATGCTGCTACAGCTGCAGCTACAACTGCTTCATAACAGTGAAGTTTTGTCTGTGTAAATTATCTCCTGTGCAGCACAGAGACTTTAAAAAAAGTTGTTTTCCTTGCCATGATAATTATTATGAGATTTAAAAAAAAAAAAATCAAAAATCAAACACACATTGTATGCAAAAGGGGCTGGTCAAGCTGGAGATGGCAGGTCAAAATGCTAAAAACCCCCAAAACAAGTTGGGTAACTAACTGTGTAATCAGATAAAAACATTCCTTTGAAAGGCTCTTCGGGGAGGTTAAAGGCTCACCTGTTATCAGAATTTGAGCAAATTGGCAGCTTGACTGACTATTTTATTTACAAAATGATTGCACTCAGCAGCAAGAGCTGGTTAGTGTCTAATAAGATTGTTGTCTTTTGCAAAGATCCAGGTTTCGATGACATCCGATCACACAGATATTGAATACTCATTGTAACCCCCTCTCCTGCCTGCCTGTCTGTTTTCCTTTAGGAGGGAACACTGGAAGCTGCTGTCCAGCTTAAAGACCACAGTGGAAGGCCTGGTGTCCTCTAGTAACCCCAATGTGTGGTCACGGTACGGGGGCTTGCAGCGGCTGCACAAGGACATGAACAACATCCTCAGCCACGGACTGAAAAACGAGCAGGTGTGCAAATGGGTCGCCTTTAGCAATGAACTATTTTTTTGTTTTTTTTTCTCCTTTTGAAAGATGAAGCCGTCAAGTCTGAAACTGAAGGAAGACTTAGCAGATCAATTTCACCACAAGCTTCTGCGTGATTTAGCAAATCTGCTGGTCAAAGTCAGCATTGTTAAACTTTGACCAGCCGGTCTACATGACCGGCCGGTTTGATACTCCTAATGTTTCAACACAAGGGACTCATTCACAATTTTGAATAGCCTGTATGTGGAATATATTTGACATACAGAGAACATGACTACAAGTACATTTCTGATCACCTGATCCCCATTTTATGTAGGAACATTTTTTTTTGCAAACTATAAAGTAATTATCTGTCAAAATTCTCAAGTTGTAGGAAGTTATGTTGGAAGTCCCATCTTCTGTGACAGTCTACATCCATTTGCTGTATTTGGAGATGATTTTGTTATTCTGGTGCAGGTATACTACAAGCACAGAGACTATTGGCCGTTTGTTTGGTGTGTGCGCTACATCAGCCCCCATCTTGCCTCACATGTCGAACAGGTAGGCTGGTTTGTGGATCTGTTTGGCCCCGGCCTTATTGGTTGCTTTGTTCTGTACCCTAAAAGTGGTGAAATCCTGGGAAAGAAAGTTTGGCCCCTGTTAGCTCTGTTGGCCATTCTGAAAAAGCAACAATCATTAATTTAAGCTCTCTGACTGCTCAGACTAAAAATGGAGATTTGGACATATTTTCTTATCATGGCTGTAAAAAGCTCAGGAGCTTTGGTCGTTTTCCTTAGGAGTACTTGAACTTGATTTGTCAGCTGAATTTGAATAAGAAAAAAAAAAAGTATGTACTGGCACATTTCTTTTGGGTTAGTGTTGCTATTCAAGCAGAAGTGGATTTCAGGAAGCAGACACACCTGTGTTGAAACATGTCTGCCGTAGCTCTGCTATGATGAAATAACCCAGCGAGTACCTGTTGCAGCATTGTCCGCTGTCCTTTACTTTTGTGAATACACTTAGAGTTTATCAGCCAAATCCATTGTGCGCCTGTTCACTGTGTTTTACCTGTCCGTCCTCAGTTCAGTCACCTGGAACCGGTGCTGAGCAGCGGGATGCAGAGCACCGGGGAAAGCTACAAGGCCGAGCGCTGGCTGCTGCACAGCTTACAGGCCCACATGGTCTCGGCTCAGCTCAGACCTCTGCTCAGGCATCTGGGACACACTCGGAAATACTACAATGGTGAGCGTCGGCCCTGTAACGAATTATGTTTGGACCTTTCGACCTGTGACACCGCGTCCGTCTCCGCTTTGCAGATGATGCATTCCTGCTGAGTGAGCCCCATGTGACCGCCATGTTTCAGTGTCTGGAAGCCGTGGAGCAGAATAACCCTAAACTGCTGGCCCAGGTGGACACCGTGGGGGTGCGTCTCGCTGCATACCTGTGAATGGATTAAAAAGATGTCATTTTTACTGCGACAAGTGTTTTACAGCAGCTCTGTTAAATCTCTCTTTTCACCTTCCAGTTGTCTCCTCTAAAAGGCTCGCCATGTCTGGGTCTTTTGAAGAGCCAGAGCTTGTGTGTGCTGCCGGGGGCCGGTGGGCTTTGGCAGAACTCCGACACGGCTCCTTGCAGAGAATCCCTAAGCCGCAGGCTGGCCACCTCTAACTGCTCTCTGAGGAAGCAGAAATCTGGGTCCATATCAGGAACTACATCCCACAACAGCAACACAAGTGAGGACAAATATGCATTAGTTGGTTCTGGAATTGAATCTGATAAATGTTATAGATTATGAACATTTGGATAATCTTTGGGTCTCTTAACATGAATACTTTGATGTTTTATAAACTAAGACTTTAAGAAAAAGTCACAGATGGTCAGTACGTCCACAGTCATTCTAGTTGGAGGTTAGGTTTGCCGAGAATTATTCTGATTTGATGATTGAGTTTCGGAATCAGTTCGATCATTCCTTGGAGTGATTTTTTTTTATGAACAAGATATAAGCCTTTGTCCCTGTAGGAGGACAGTCACTGTTTCCACTGGTGCTGTGCATGCATGTGGAGGGTTTGGACCGTTGGGCTGTGAATAGGCTACAGTTTGCTCATGAATGGACTGACTTAATCATACAGATGGCTGATTGTTCGTGGGAAGAGGTCAAATTTGAAGGAATGCGTTGATGTAGCCTGCAAAACTGGATGTCCTGAGCTGGAGGTCCTGATTAACTAAGTGGACTAGTTCTTCGAAAACATGAATGTTGTTTTTCTAGCAAGAAGAACATTAAGGACAAATGTATTAAATGTATTTAGTGCATGGGGAAGTTAGTCTCATAATTTAACAATCAGATCACCTGTAGACAAATACCCTCAGCTCAGAAATGGAAAAATGGATGTGGAAAAACCCATTCTGCATGAATAAATGACAGATAAACGTATAGCCCTAGTCATTTAAAGGACCAAAGGAAAGGAATAAAATCCATGTTGTGGATGCATTGTGTTGCAGACTCTACCTCTCCAGCCAGCAGCTTGGAAGCTCCCTGGGTGTGCGTATCTGGGTCAGCAGAGACGGAGCGAGGTGTGACTCCGCCCCCTGCGCCGGTGTCGGTTCCTGGCCTCTCCCTGACGGAGACCCCTCCGTCCGCCTCCCCTCAGCCCGAGCCTGGGGATTCCTGCGACGGGGACTCTGACGATGGCCCGGAGTACCTGGCCATCGGCAACCTGGGGCAGCGGAGTCGCCGTGACTCCCGGAGCTCCACCCACAGCAGTGACCAAGGGGAGGCCAAGGAGCAGTACCTGCAGCAGAGCCCCCTCGCCCCGGCCCCGCCAAGGTGCTCGTCTTTTTCAGAGGGCCAGAGGGGGACGGGCAGGGGCTCCAGAGGACACACGCGCTCCTTTTCAGACACAGGTCTCAATCAAAAACTCAGGAACGGTGAGTTAGCCGAGAAGGTTTTCACAGTATTTCGAAATAACTGAAATGTCTAAGGTGTAATCCATAGATGGGTAAATGCTAAAACAGCAGAGGAACCTGCTACTGTTATTATTTAACTAAACTGAATGTCCAGCCCAGTCAAATGAAGCTTGTATCTGAAGTCTTGAAGCTTTAGTAGTCTTAGTCGATTGATCTGCATTCTCTTAAAGTCTTAACACTGTCAGTTTTCTTTGTGGGATTCTCCTTGCTCTGCCCTTTCTCAAAAGATGCACACTTAACATCCTCTTTTTTTCTTGAGCTGAACTCTTCTCTTTCTGCTCTGTCTCCCTGTTCTCTCTCTCTCTCTTTTTCACTTTTTTTAATTGTTACTGTGCAAAGGAGGGGGCCACAGAAAAATCACCATAATAATAGAGGATCCTGTAGCAGGTTGGCAGTGCAGTTTCCCTGTACTCCATCACTTGACCCCTCTCACCTGTATATTTTTTTTGTTTGTGTATTTATTTATTTGCATGTTGATGAACTTTATCCCTCTCATCTCCGGTCTGCAGCTCCTCATTTGTGCGTATGGTGTTTAAGAGCCACTCTGTTTAGGTTGCATGGTTTATTTAGATCATCTGTTTTGTTCATGCATACAGTTTTCATATAAAAAAACGCACAGTAAAAGGAAAAGTAGACTCATTTTTATTTATTACCAGTGAATCAGCTATTTATTTAAACATTAATGAAGAAAACCATTTCCATAGCAGTTCAAATGTAGAAATAACATCAGTGCTCCTCACCAGTTCTTTTAAAGCATGCTCCCATCAACACCAAGAGTTGACTGGACTTTTAGCTGGAAAGCTGTTGACATGCAGTGTTTCTCTCTCAGAATCAGCAGGTGAAGACCGTTGCATGAAGGAGTACAGCCCTTTCTCCCCTCAGCGCAGTGACTGCAGCACCCCCAGTTCTCTATACATGGAGTCTTGTGAGTTTTTTAAAAATATTTTCCACTTTTGCTCTCGCTGTACTTCAAAGATGCCAATATTTCATTATTGCATTCTCCATCTGTTCTTTGAAGCACCCATTCATTGTCCATTCCAGTTATTCCTGGTAGATTCTGGGGTGGGGGGGTCTGACATTGGGTGAGAGTTGTCATTAGGTCTGTTGTTTGTGTGAAGCTGTAAAGGAGAATCAGCTCATGTTACTTTTTACATATGAATGCAAAGTAAATGAGGAAGGCAACCAGATTTATGGTGATTCAAAACAAGTTTTTCTTCCTGGATGCCGGTGTGTGTCATGTGGCCTATAAATATGACACACTGGGCTCTGAAAAGGAAGGTCATGAAAGGGTTGCTGAGTATGTTTTTAACATCATAAACCATTTTAATGACACAAAAACACAAAAATTACATTCTGTAAAAATATAGATGCATTTTGCATATAGAAATTGGATGGTTTTATATGTATAGAGAAATGGTGCATATTTCAACACTGCATATTTTTAAAGCTATTTTTGATACTGCATGTGTTTTTTTTACATGTGTAAATGAAGTTGTTTGCTTTTGTTGCTGCAGATGGGACCCAGTACAGCAGTGTTCCAGATGGGATGTTCAGGAAGCCTTCCAAAGGCCAGAGCCTCATCAGCTACTTGTCAGAGCAGGACTTTGGCAGCTGTGCTGACCTTGAAAAGGTAGCAACTCGTTCCGTCTCTTTTATAAATAAAGACATTGGAACTAAAATGTTTTTTTCTTCTCGCCATTCATCACTTTATTTTTTTTCTTCTGAAGGAGAACGCTCACTTCAGCATCTCGGAGTCCCTTATAGCTGCCATCGAACTGATGAAGTACAACATGCGGCGTCCGGTGGAGGAAGGTGAAGAGGAGGGAGACAGCGACTCCGAGATCCAGCAGCTAAAGCAAAAGATCCGCCTGCGGAGGCAACAGATCCGACGCAGCCGCCTGCCCCCCTGCGCCTCCTCCCAGCACAGTGAGCTCAAATGAAATTCACATTTAATGGCGGATTGAGACTACCAAGTCCGATCTGGATCTTTTTCTTGAACTCTGCTTTTTTGGAAATCTTGGTCATTATTTTTTCCTTTTGATCCTGATTTGTACATTATACAGAGCTCTCTTGTGCAGATTTCCATTCCACTGACAGTGGGGGCTCCAGGAGGAGCTCTCAGGATTCCGACAACGGCCTTTCAAACTCTGGCTCGGCCGAGGAGGTGGAGGAATGTGAACTGCTAGGTATAAAACAATATGATGTTAGCTTAACCACCAACAAAGCAACATATTGCAGTATTAACACTGTAAACTCGTCAAACTTGTCAAAGTATGATTTTTCTATCTTTTTCTTTTTCTTTTTTTCTTTCTGTAAGCTAATGAAAATTCATCTTTTGCACGTGTAAATTTTTGTTTCAGCCATAATTCATACCCACTCGTACTGTAATCACAAAGGCTGCTGACTGAGCCTGTCAGTGATGTCAAAGTCCAACAGACCACAGAATGATTTTTGGTGCCGCCATGTGATATAACTCGTGTCGGATTTTTATTGTTTGCGCCTGTTTCAAAAGGTGTGGTTAGTGTATCGAGGCACCATTCATATCAGCGGCTGTAAAGAAAAGAGAGCCACTTTTTGTCTGAATGTGCATTATTTGGGTTTCAGTCTCTTGTTTGCATGTCTTTCTGTGTGCGGGTTGCCTTTGAACCGGGTCTGTGTGGGAAGTCTGACCTAATGCTGTAAAACAGCACTTCTTAAAGGACAGCATTCTCCTTCTGTAATGTAGACACACACAGGTCTTTCCAGTGTTGAATTTGTGTGTGTGCGGTGCGGGTTGTGCTGAGTGTTAGTTTCTGTCTCTCAGATGGCTGTGAGGGTCAGTCCCTGCTGGCGGTGTCTCAGAACGGACTCTCCCTGTCACTCGCCTCCCTCTTCTCAGGTATCTCCAGGACGGACTAGTTTGTGAGGCTCCATGGCTGTGGCCATGCTGCCCAGAGAGGAAGCCGGTGGCTTTGCTCCAAACTGAAAAAGACCCCCCTCGATCTCTGCATAAGACTCAAACATTTAGTTTATCTCCTGGCTTTCAGTGTGTTAGATACTGCCCAAATTAATACACCAAACAGTGGCTCTTCCTTCGTCATCATTTACATAGTTTAAATCTCTGTTGGCCCCCATTGTTTTAAAGACGCCATTTTTCTTTCAAGAGTTGGAAATCCCACTGCTTTTTCCAAACGAATGATGAAATGAATCTGGACATCCATCTGAGGGAAGCTGCTTAACTTTTCACGTGGACCTGTTTTGGGGACGTTCTTTTCGGTTTGGAGATGGGCCAGCTGCCTCTCGTGCTTGGCTGTGTGTGGTGTTGCTTGTTGCTCAGTGCTCCAGTGTTTTGGTGGTGCAGGATGACGGATGTGCCTGTGCCGTTGCGGTCAACTTGGCAGGAGACGAGTCAGTCAGTCAGTCAGTCAGTGATTACAACCAGTGGTTATCACCATCCATCCATCTATCCATCCTTTCTTATTATTTTTATCTTGTCCAGCGATAATGAGGTGTGAATGCCATCCATCCATACACTTCCATCCTTTTTTAAAAACAAAGTAATTAAAATTCTATTTATGAGTGTGTGCCTTCCAGCAGGTGCAGCAATGAAATGAGGGCCAGTAATCAAGGACAATTCTCTTAGGTGGCCCTTATCATGTAATAATTTTGTTTTTGTTATAATTTGCACGCAGTTGAACTGGAGGATGAGAGAAAATGTTAAATCCATTAACTCTGATGAACTATTTATGCAAAGCACATTAACTCTCTAATGGCACTGTGATTGCAGCTCGCTCTGCTGGATTGTAAATGACTCAACTAAATCAGTTTCCATGGCCTCTGATCACACTTCCTTTTTGTCTGTGTGCCAATGATTTTAAAACTAGATAAATGAATACATTTCCAGTTAAGCCATACCAATCGGTACAAACTGTGCCTTTTATTTAGCCTGACAACATTGTTTGTCTATAGCAAACTGATTTTTTCCCCCTAAAGTTTACTTTTTGCTCAATGATTCAATAAGAGACTTTTTTGCTGTTGATCCAAAGCATTTAATCGTAATAGGGCCACACGGCTCTGTTTCTAAGTCGTGCTAGGAGAACAAACAGAAATGCTTATCATGGGATAGACTCCGATGAGCAGAATCCCTGCCGGCGGTCTCCTGTTCTGCCAAACCTGTACTGCTTCTGCCCTATGTTACATGAGCTTTAGAGAACAAGTACGATCGAGATAACATTGAATGTGCTTTGCTTTCACTGCATGTCCATCTGAAATATGCTTGCGTATTATGCTTGCATATTTTGCACTGAATCAGCTCCTTTTCTCACGGACGTCCTCATTTTTAATTTATTCATTTAGTTGAATGTTTTTCTCAGAACAGGAAATGCTGCTTTGCCATACCAAAGATTGCCATCTGAAACATCTTCCCTGTTTTGCCCTTTTGAGTCATTATTTATATTTATTTTTAACAGTAGTGCATAATTTTAGTTCCATTACTAAAAACAATCCCAACTTTTCTGTTATCAATGAGTATTAGGAATAATTCCCTGACTAGATTAATAGGTTTCGTTGCCCTTTTATTCAAACTTTGCTCTTTTGTGGTTAACTCTCTTTTGTTTGGCTATCACTCTGTCCTCTAGATGCAGACATAAAGCGCAGTGTAAGCTCCAGCGGCCGATCATTCCTCAGCTCAGAGTCCATGTAAGTCCCATTCTTTCCATCTTCATCCGGCTTGGTATATGGCTTTTATTTTTCATCTTAACACTGATGACCGAGGAGTTCAGAATTTCATATTTTCACAAACAGCTAGTTACTAGCTAGTGCTCTGAAAAAAAAAAACGCACTGAACTGCATTTCTGTGATTTCTGTTTTTTCATAGAGCTGTTTTTTAAACATTTTTTAAATTCTTCTTTTATGTGTTTTCAGCTCTCCCTCCTACCTCCAGTCTAACTCGGCTGAGTCGGTAGCCATGGGCCTACTTAGGCAGTTTGAGGGCATGCAGCTTCCTGCAGCCTCAGAGCTCGACTGGCTGGTCCCAGAACACGACGCTCCACAAAAGGTACCCTATCCCAACAGAGCTGCAAATCTCCAAACATGGCACTAAGCACCCAGTGGTTTATAGAAATGATACAAATTGTAAACAGATGGCTGTCTTTCACACAGTCAAAAAGACCAGCTCTCACTATTTCTGTTGCTTGTCTCTATAGTTGCTGCCCATCCCTGACTCGCTCCCGATCTCCCCCGACGACGGTGAACACGCAGACATCTACAAGTTGAGGATTCGGGTTCGGGGCAACCTAGAATGGGCGCCGCCTCGACCTCAGATCATTTTCAACATTCATCCCGCCCCCAAGTGAGTGAATCCCGGTTTGACCTGCTCTCCCCGTCAGTGCTGCCTGTTTGTATCGGCCTCAATCCAACACCTGAACCTCGTAAAGAAGAAGCCACAAATTAAAGCCGAAACGGGGCTATGAAGTCACACTCTGAACTATGTCTGAACTATGTCGGTCTCCCTTTCAGGAGAAAAATAATTGTGGCGAAGCAGAACTATCGCTGTGCTGGCTGTGGCACCCGCATTGACCCAGGTATGAACAGCACCCAAAGAAATGAAAGGGAAATGGCTTTTTATGCTCTTGAATTGTTTGTGTTGCTATTTTTTGGGGGACATTTAAGAGTTGGAATACTTTTTAAACATAGCTATGATTTCTAGTCAGCGGGTAACCGCTGACTTTTGTATTTTTAGCTTTTAGACTCATTCCAAACTTTTTTCTGTACTTCCCCTCCGTCTGTTAACGCTGTGCTCTGATATGGTTCTTGTTCCTGCTTTGCCCTCCTCAGATTACATCAAGCGCCTGCGTTACTGCGAATACCTCGGCCGTTACTTCTGTCAGTGCTGCCATGAGAACGCCCAGGCCGTTGTTCCGGGCCGTGTGCTGAGGAAGTGGGATTTCAGCAAGTACTATGTCAGCAACTTTGCTCGGGACCTGCTGAGCAAGATTGCGGGAGATCCGCTGTTCAACCCCAGCGACATCAACAGCGGCCTTTTCAAGAAGATCAAAGCCCTGGAGTCTGTTAGGGTGAGATCCAGGTTTCTAACAGAATTATGAACCAGTGTCAGAGGTTGCACATTACACAGATTAGCTGATGACATTAAAATAAAAAACTCCTGCGGAGTAAAAAAAGCTCAGGGTGGTGTTGCTGACATTAAGTTCCCTCAACTGTAAAATGGCAAACTTGTGACCAGATGCTGTTCGGTCACAAGTTGAGCTGCCAGGATAAATAGAAACATTCATGTTTTAATAGCTAAAAGCTAAAACTCCTGTGAGGTGGAATTGTAGGACGAAATGAAGGAAAACAACTTGTTTAAATATGAAAAGGCTTTTGGTGTATAGTCTTTCATCATTGTTTTGATTTCAATTAATTTGATTTTTTTATTTTTATTTCCTCATTCAAAAGTGAAGCTAAAATAATCCTCTAAAAACTGGCTGTGTGAAAAGTAGTTTCTTTTTTGGAATGTCACAGTAAGAGGTTCTGTTGCATCATGACTGATTTAAAAGTTGGTGAGGAGGGGGTGTTGGGCAGGTGCAGTTTACCCCCGAGTTGCCTGGGCATCCTGCCTACTGACCTTTGAACCGTGCAGTCGATTTACACGTCACTGATTTTTCGTATTTACTTCTACTTTAAACATTTTTTTTTTTTTTGCACTGATGGAAACTGAATTTTCCCACTTGTCTGTTTAGGTTTTGAGGGTGCAGCTGTTCCACATGAAAAATCTCTTCAAGACCTGTCGCTTTGCTAAAGAGTAAGTCACATCTGCGCAGGCTTTTTCGAATGTCCCAGAGTAAAAACAACGACCACGCTGATAAAAAGCCTTTGGTCCCGTGCTGTCCCCTCAGGGTGCTGGACCAGTTCGACAAGCTGCCGGGTCACCTGACCGAAGACCTTCACCTCTTCTCCCTCAATGACCTCGCTGCTGTGCGGAATGGAGAGCTGGCCCCCCGGATGAAGGAGCTGCTTAAGCTGGGCACCACGCATGTAGCCGGCTGCGTGGTAAGATAAGCCGCCTGGTTTCTGTTCTCCTCTACAGCGAAGCTCCCTCATCGCAGCTGTAGTACACGAGCTAAAAGGCTGATGTGTGTTTTCCTGTTTTCTCCTCGCCCCAGCTGTGTCAGGCCAAGGGCTTCGTGTGCGAGTTCTGCGGCAACGACAAAGACATCATCTTCCCCTTCCAGCTGAGCAAGTGCCAGCGCTGCGAAGGTGAGCCCCCTCCAAGAGCCCCCTCTTCCTTTGCAGTTTCCTGGAAAAACTGGAAGATCCCGAATCCCCGTAGACTGGCGAAAGTCCTGTCCAGAGACAGGAGAGAGGGGGAGGGAGGGGAGGAGGATATACAGCCGGGAGCGGATCGGGAGGTAACGAGCGGAGAGCAAAAGGAGGCGCGTGAAAAAGGAGCCGAGGAGTTAAAGGAGACGGCTGAAGCCAGTGATGGAGGGGGAATGTTTCAGACATCTACTTCTGGAAAACTGGCTACGGCTGTTCCCTGGAGGAAGAGTGATGAGGAGGGAAAGGAGATGGCAGGCAGCGTGGAGGTGGTGGGAGAGTGGGAATGGGTTGAAGAGGTGGAGGGGCGAGACAGTCGACGTGCGAGTGTCCGCACAGAGGGGGACAGGAGTGAGGGAAGTGGAGACGAGCGGACAAGGAGGGAAAAAGGGAACTTCCTGAAAGTTTTACAAATGGACAAACTGAAGAAGAGCATCTTGGAACGAGACAGAAGAGGCAGTGAGACCTGCAGCAGCATGGAGAGCTTAGACGAAGCAGGAGCAGTGAGGAAAGGCCCCAGGACGGTGCCAGGGTTCGTAAGCCGAGTCAGGAGTCTGGTAAAGAAAGGGAATAGGGAAGAGAAGGAACTGAAAGAGGAAACCAAGAACGAAGAGTCTCCAAAAATATCGTCAGAGGGCGAAGAAGGAACAAAGCCGGAAGGGAAAGATCAGACGGGGAGGGACGGCGAAACCACAACACTGGAGAAATTCCGAATCACAAAATTCCTAAGGCCCCATCAGCGGCCGTCTGTCTTCTCCAAAGGCAGAACCAAGGCAGAGGAGGATGGAGGAAGTGGTGAAGGGACGGATTCTGAGGGGGGGAGGGAGCCGGAAGGCCGCAAAGAGTCAGCAGTGCCTGCACGAATGAACTGGAGGGCTCGCAAAACCCGTAACGCCAGGAGAGTAAGCCGGGGCAAGAAGATGAAGGAGGGGGGGCAGGGCGAGGAGGCAGGAGGGGAGGATTCAGAGAAAGACGACAGAGGCCATCGTTCCGAGGGAAGAGGAGGAGCACAGTGACAACACAGTCGTTCAAAGTTCAATAAGGGAAAGGAAGGTTGTTTCCATCATCCGAAGTTCCCGGAGTTTCCAAGTAGCTATGTGTCATGGTGTCACGGTTTTTATCAATGTTTGTCTGGATAACTTTATACTTACAGAGCCGACTGCCTGACCTGTTGTTTTTTTTCTGAAGCTCAGTATACTTCACACATTGGCCTCTCAAGAGCAAATCCACAGCCTGCAGTCTGGCAGCTGTAACCCAAAAGCTCTTTGATGTAATTTGTTGAATTCACACAGAAACGCGCTCCCTACTCGGTTAAAAGGAATTCCAAGATTTAATTTGTCCGATCACACGGAGCCCACACGTAGGGCGGTGGTCTTTCCTTGGGTTTGCAAACCTCTTCTCCTGACGCTTTGCACCCCTTATTTCCACCTCTGCTGCGGGGAGGTCGGTGTTCTGGCGCGCAGCTGGTGGAGGGCCGGTGCTGTTCGGTGGCGGATGGCCTTTGGGTTTGGTGTTGGCTGGCTGGTGGTTTTCACCTCTCCGTCTCTGCTGCTGGTCTTTGAGATCGCTGCCGATCGGTGCGGTGATTAGGTTTGCATGTTCTGGTCCCGAATTTCAGTTTGGACTCTCGTTGAAGCCGCTGGTTGCGAGGTATGAGTGAGCCAGGGGAGGTTTTCAGAGATTTCTTTTGTTTGTTATTTATTTATTGTTGTTGCAGGAAGAATGAGGCAAAGTCAAGACTCATCTTTTTTTCTTTTTTTTTCAATTTTTGCTTTTGAATTGTTTCTGTTTTTTACTATTTAAGTTCCATCTTTATGTCAGCGTGAAATAAACAGTGTTGTTGAATTTGTATTGCCTTTCATTTCATCATTACATTCCAATTATTATTTTTCTTTTTACATTATTTTTTTTAAAAGCACTGAAAACTCAAGCCGTAAGCAAAAAAGTTGCGCGGTTGCCACATTTGGCTGGTGGCTGATGGTGGAACGAGTTTGGTCTTGACGCGTTTAGGTTGTGATCTATTCGTCCCTGAACACGATCCAGCTCCAACCTCCTCCCCTCTGCCTCTCTGCCTCCTACCTCTGTGCCTTTTATACGCTCCTGAGCCTCTCCCATCCCACCTCAGGACTCCTTGTGATTGGCTGTCCTGTCATACCTTTTATTTTTTTTTGTCTCTCTAGACTGGTTTAACTGGTTCCAAGTTTCAGGGAGTGGCAGGAGTTGATTGCTGCTAATCTCCCCCTGTTGCAATGTGCTATAAAGAAAGAGCAGTGAACTGACTTTGTGTTTCCCCCTCCTCAGAGTGTCATGCTTGTTACCATCGGAGCTGCTTCAGGACCGGGAGCGACTGCCCCCGATGCTGCCGGCTGGCCGAGCGCAGGGAGAGAATGGCGCGCAAAAACATGGAGGAGCAGGAGGACGAGGGGGGCGGGACTTAGCGCTGGTGGAAAAGCGCAAGGCGTCCATGATTGTACTCGGTGTCTCCCTTTCTGACCCAGCTCCCTCAGGCCGTGCCACCCGATAAGAGCAGATCCGGTCTTACTGCGTCCACTGTCAGGAGGTTTTTCAGATGAAGAACACCTTAAATTCCCCTTCAGACTTGCACTTTAATTTGTGAACACATGCTTTGCTTGAAAAGAAAAAAAGTGGTTGAATGACTCCGGATAAAATAAGATTGTGATTGTTTTTGTTTTGTCTTTAAACCCCAATATGTGGAATTTTCCTTTATTTTTATTTTTTTTGTTCCACACAAAAAATATTCCACTTAAAAATAGTATGTCTATTTGGCTCACCAGACTTTCCTCAAACCGAAGAATTCCATATCACCCCTAAAACTCCTGACGACCACGAAAAGAAAATGGTTGTCGACATCAATTCCTGTTGCTTTCAAATTTTTCTAAAGTTCCCCGCTAACCCACTAGTCTCGCCTTTCTCCTGCTTTTGGTTACTAGAGCTGAAGCGCTCCTCCCGGAGTGGCGGCTCTCTGCCGGAGAATGTGTGGAAAACGAGAGCCGCTGCCTTGCACAGATACTCAGTGCTGACCATTTTGCCACTTTGTGTAGAGAAAGAGCCAAAGACTGTCTAGTGTCGCTAACACTGTTGCATTCTGGTGTTTTTAGGGAAACCATCCATCCATCCACCAAAAACAAAACAACCATAATTTGCTCGGACTTCTCTTAGGTCTGATCCCTCCTTTATCTTCCCACTATCTGTTTAGAAGCTTGATTTTTTTGTGACCTAAGATCATTGTTTCTGTTTCTTTTTCCCTGAAAATTTCCCTGCAAAATGAAATTGGAGGTGTGAATCTTATGATTTGATTGATGCTATATCCCTTTAATGCTGCCACTTGTCGTGTTTTTTGTTTTAATATGAATGTACTGAAGGTATTTAATACGCGCTCTCTTTTCTTAAGCCGCGTGTTCCCATTTTAAGCTGTTTTAACCACATTTCTGAGCCTCTTGGACCAACAAACTAAAACTGGCAAGAGTTTAACAGGACAGCCTGAATATGCAGGGCTGGGTTTCGAATCAGTTTTGCAAACATTTAAATGAAACTGCAGATGTTCTATTTTTGTGCTGTGTGTGAGAGAGAGAGGGAGTTCACGTGTCTACCTGCTGTGCTTGCAGCCATGCACAACTAGTTTGCACTAACCTAATGAGCACTTAGCTGTTTTCTAATGAAGGTTTTGGAATGCCAGAGTGTGTGTGTGTGTGTGTGTGTCTGTGTGTGTGACTGTGTGTGTGAGAGTGTGTCTGCTGAATGCACTGATCCTGTGTTGTTTTTTTGAGGTGGGGGGAGGTTAGGATGTCACTGTTGGGGGGGTTTCAGATGTTCGTTTTAAGAACACGAAACGTTACTGTTCCATTTAAGAAGTTCCTGCCATCCGGGTAGCACATTTTGAAAGGTTTCTGTCCAGATTAAATACAGAATTTAAAGGTTTTTATCATCAGCTAATCATAATTTTTTTAATCACTTTTTGTTTCTTTAATCGATTGATTCAGATTTAATCGTTTTTCTTAAATATTTTGCCATGTCGCACATTTGGGGGGGGGTTAAGTGCCTCAGTATTTTAAAAAATTGATTTAGTTAAATCATATAAGAACAATTCCGTTTAATATATTTTCCTCCTTTTTGCAAAAAAACCCTTGATTGTTTAAATAAATCCATTTTGAGTTTCCGCAAGATGAAATAAAATATATATGTATTTAAAATGAAAAAAAACATTTAAAAGAACCTCAAAGTTTTCGGGTTAAGGCCTCTGTAGAGACTGACTCTTCTAAGCTCTTGATTTGTCCTTCTGCTGCCTTCAATTTGGTGGAGTGACGAGGTTTAAGGTTCACTACAGATTTAAGTGTATGTTATTAAAAAGTTTAACTATTGTTATGTCTTAATTTGCTTTGAATCTGTAATTATGTTAATAAATGACTGGCAAGACTGTTAATAAGCGTCAGACTCAGTGAGAACACCTGTTGAACACTGAACCTAACGTTTAACTTGGCTATTAGGGAATGTACTGTTTCTTCTCATAATTATTTTTTTATTTAGCCTTTTTTAGAGCTTAGTTACTGACATCTTCACTGGTTTTAACCTCCAGGATTCACTAATTAAGTTAAATTTATCTGAATTTATTATTTTTAAATCTATTTTTGGGATGTGTGGTGGAACATTCTGGATTGTATTTCCTTTTATTTTTTTAACTAGCGTTTGCAGTGTGGTTCTCACATTATGTGGACTTTTGCTCCATCTAGTGTCTGGGATGGGACACGACTATTTCCAGGGTCTTTGACATTTCGGGAGGGGGGGTGTTCGTTGAGTTGGGCCTCATAGAAAAAGAAAGAAATGCTTGGCTGAAACATTTCAGGAGATATTTGGTTTTCACCATATTTTTTTATTTATACTTATTGATAGTATCACATTAACTCTGGTCACTCAACAGTCTCTAATAATTTAGTTCAATCAGAAATCATTTCTAATGGTAAAAGAATAAAAAAAGGATTTGTTAAAATCAAATGGGCCAGTTTCAGTTTCTGGGTGGATCAACATAAACAAGTTGGGTGATCTGTGTGATGTGGCCCAGACCGCTCTGAAGAATTTCTATTCCGAACCTTACGGCCTCACACGACCTCAGTAACCGGCACATGCATGCACCAAATTGTCCCAGGCCGCGAAACCAGTCGGTGTATTTCCCCCAACATTCCTGAGCACACAGGCTGCCGGCTGGTGTTCATTTGTCCCACAGCTCACACCACCGCTTTGTTATTCAAGACCCAAATGCAAATGACTGTGATAAAGCTCGTAGTGATGAAGACGATGTACAAGCCGAACAGCAGACGGTCGATCACGACCCCGACCATTTGCCAGTCCTGCGAGGTCTTGGATTCCTGGAAGTATCGGTCGATCTGAAGGCGAATGGCAGCCAGGTCTCTGCCCAGCCTCAGCAGCTCTTTCATGGCCGGCTCAAGAGGGGCCTCCGCTGGAGGAGTGTCGGCCGAGATACTCTGGCTAGGACTTCCTGAGATGTGTATGGAGCCGTTGGTACTGGCTGTTTCTGGAGAAACATGAAAATAAATGAAAATGAATAAATACCCAAAAGCGACATGCCAGTGCTCACACTGAGCTTTTAATAAATCTGAAATTTCGCTTTAATTGCATGGCCTCAAACTCCATCTGTGTTACACACAAAATGGTTTGAAATGTTTTTGAATGGACTATAAATGCTGCAAAAAGATCAGGTGAAGAGATTTTTTTTTTTTTTTAGGTGTCCCTGTGGGATAGATGTCCATCTTCCTTAGCTGTGTCCTATTCTGTGTTAGCTTTATCAGCTAAAACAACCATTAACCACACACACCTCTAATAGGTTTTGGAGATATGTTGTTCTGTTCTAAAATTCATATCAGGGAACGCTCTCGTTTGAACAATCTCAATAGAATACATTTCAAAACTAATTCCTTTGGCATGCAGCTTTGCTACACATTCTAATTTAGGTGTGACTCTGCATGCGCTTACTGGAGGACAGACTTGGAAAAGTGACAAGATGCTGCAAATCAGACTGAGAGCCCATCGCATATGGCGTGTTCAGTATGAGAAAATGGCAGTTTTGTTAAATAAAAATGCCGTGCAATGAATACATTTAGAACTGTGGCAGAGTAAAGCGACACGAAATGAATATGCTGTTCGTTGAAAGATGATCTGGCTTTTAAAATGGATTTTGTGAAACCGTCTTATTATTTGAGTGCTGTATCTATTTGTTTTAATTTTCCACGAAATTCCATTCCATCCCATGGGGAAAACATACCTTTTGCCTGTTTGGCAACACTTGGTTGAATTAAAGTTCTCTGTATTTCTGTGCCCCCCGAAAAAAGAAGCTCTACCTTTAAAATTTGGGTTGAGGATGACGGTGACTCTGTCGCTCTTCTTTTTGGGAGGGAGACCGACGAGGACAGCTAGGTAGCGCAGCACCAGGATGCTGAGCCAGGTGGGCACTGCGTCGTACTGGCTGGAGCTGTGGCCGATGTTGGTGATGAAGACGGTCTCCAGCAGGCTGGCGACCATCAGAGCCAGGCTGATGGAGAAGAACACATCTGCCGGAAACCACGACAAAAACAAGGATCCCCTTCTCTTTAAATCATCAGAGCATGAAGTACACAGAGCGCATCCTGGTATCCGTTTTTGCCCAGGTTATTTTTCCTCATCACGAAATGATGTTTACGTTCAAACTTGAGAAACCTGTTGCTCTCCTTATCGCGTGCAGGATGGGGACAGGTTCTCTTCAGGTTCTCACAGCAGAGAACAGGAGAGGTAAACTCCCTCTGAGTCATTTTTCCGAGGGGTGGAATCCGGCAGCTATTGGAACTTTAATCCAAGGTTTCGAAATGAAACTGGGATGTTTTTACAATTGATTTTTTAATCATGATTCTGAGCACCATCCTTTGCTTGGTTATCATCCTTTTTAAAGGAGCAAAAATTTTGATTCAGCTAGCTTTCCTGAACAAATTAGACTGTAAAAGTAGAACACTGAGGAAAACAGTGAGTCAGGAAGTAATGATACATGCATCAGAATACCCCATTTATAAGTGAGGCCTGAATTAAAAGTAAATGTTTGTGATTTACTTGTCAAATTCTAGATAAATGAAGCACATCTGGGTGTTTTGCTGCTCACTGATGTGATTTTATTTATAGGTTTATATATTTTAGGACCATGGCAACTGATTCCAATCTATTAATTTACACTGTTTACTCAGAGCATAGTTTGTTAAAACTGTAGAAACCAGTTGCTCTTCTTATTGTGTGCAGGATGGGGACAGTTTAATTTCAGGTGCTCACAGCAGAGAACAGGAGAGGTAAACGCCCTAAGAGTCATTTTTCAGAGCAATTGTAACTTTAATCCAAGGTTTCGAACAGGAAAGTCTTTTTTTATTTTTTCAAAATGAAGTACACAAGATTCTGAGCACCACCCTGTGAAGATTAATTTCTTTTGACCACTGTTTAATCAATTGGTTGAAATAACCACTAGAAATTAATTTTATATCACTATTCTATTTTTGTTCTGTGTCAATTTTTGTCCCCATGTCGTTCAGCTGCATTTTCTCTCTCATTTTGCCTCTATTTGTGTACATTTTGCATTTTATTTCTGTTGATTTGCAAGTCAAAGTTGTCCTTTGCCAGTTTATTTTTTTGCCATCTTTCAAACCAGTGGAGACACACCTTTTGAAAAAAAAAAAAAAAAAAAAGCAATCATGCACATTTAACTAAATCAGTGTTTCACTCACTAATCAGAGGCGTTGCGTCTCCGGTGACAGGCAGCAGTTCGTTCATGAGAAGCAGGAAGACCGTGTACCCCAAAATCAGGGTCATTTTGAAGGCCGATCTGTCCACGGAAGCTGGAGGCAGCAGGAAGCTGAAGAGGTCCAGAGTAACCAGGAAGCAGCTGGGGATCACGAGGTTCACCACGTACAGCTTCGGTCTGCGATGTAGATATATCTAAAGAAAAGACACAGGAAATAAATATAACTATTTTAGTCAGGCTTTTAACTTTATTTGAGCCTCATTTCCATTCATGGAAATGAAATGGGACGATAGCTAAAGTCAGACATCACGTTGGGTTTTGTACTTTAAGTCTTTTTATTTATTTTTTCAACATGAAAGTGGGAATCCGGGGAATCTTTAAGATATCTTCCATGTTTAACTTACTTTAATATTGAAACTGCGTCTTGAGTTTGCTGACTGCTTGTCTTTGACTCCCTGCCACTGCAGTGGATATACGTTTATCATGAATGGATTGTGAAAAAATCTCCTGCCTCCCAAATGCAAATGTACATTTAAATCCTCTGCATTGCATACAAACCTAACAGGGATCTGAGGTTCAGACTGCACATGTGGAGAGCAATAAAACGTTTCACAGAGATGTAAACGCATTTATATTTACAGGCATTGTCGCAGCAAATAAAACCGAGATGGACAAAACACACATTCCACGAAATGAGTAACTTTTAAGTTGTGAAAAACAGTAAGCTGTTAACTTACAAAGTATTTCATCTCAGAGTAGTTTCCCACATCTAATTCCAGCGTATGCTCTTCCACAGAAATGTGTTTGAGCTCCCATTCCCCGTTCCTCTTCGACACATTTATGGATTCTGACAGGATGTCACTAGCCGTGGAGTGTTGTATCATCCTTATGTCTGTATCTACAATAGCATTTTTTGCACAGTTTAGAACATGCAATTAATACAGTCTTTTTTGTTCAATATCCACAAAAGAATGTTGGAAAAACATTGAAGAAAGAGTTGAATTTGTCATGAGCTGGAAAATGTATGGAAGCAGCCGCCTGTTTAACAAAAATCTACTTTTTGATACATTCTTGGCTTACCAAAGTGTAGATATGATCCAAATGTCAGTGAGCAGATTTGGACGTCAAAGGGGAAAGTGTAGATTTGTAAGTTACAGGATGTGACCACTGCCATTGGTTTATCATCGTAAACACGACCTGAGTTGTGCAAGATTACAAAGGGAGTCGGTGGTAGCTCGACCTTGCCCACGCTGCAATGAGGAAGAAAACAATAACACAATCAATTGGATGTCTTTGAATGTTCAATATTTTTTCTAATAGCTGTATGAAAAGCACCTTTTTGAAACTGGGCAATGATCATCCATATAAAGTTCAAAGGCTGTTTTTCAACCAGTTCAAAAAACCAAAACCCTCATATATTAAAAAGATGTAAAGAAAAACAAACAACTCACCTCTCTGCGATGTTAATGTCAGGAAGCCATAGCTTCTCACGTGGGACAGTAACGTGACTGGCTCCACATTCCTTCTCGTCCCAGCTCAGTCCCTCTATATGCCAAATCTAATTTACACAGAAATGAATAAATAGAAGAAAAAAAAAACGGTATTACAAAAGATGCAGACAGTTTTCTCTACTTGAAAAGAAAAAAGTAATTTCCACAGTTTTCAAGCCGTAAACCATGAGTCAGCACCGGATGAATACGATTTTTAGGCCCAGGATGATTGGGTATGTGCAGTTATGCATTTTCCTCATCATTATATTTGTTTAGAAAGTGCAAATGCTATGTGAAAATCACGTTTTGTGATTTAACCCACAAACTCTGGACTGGCCTACATTCCTTGCAGAATATCATACAGGATGAGCTTTAATACATACCAGGACCACCCATAAAACTGCAGACAGGGTTTGGGCTTTGTCATCCTGTTGATAAGACAAATATGACATACAACCAACATATTTATCATTCAAATTTGATGAAGTTTTAATATAGTCTCAGTTTCCAAAACATGCAAAACCTTTCGGAAGTGTAGTGATGGGTGTACTCACCACTCCTAAAACTGCCTGCACAGTGATCGAAATATTTACGTCGACTGAGTCTGAAAAGTTCTTCACAGGACGAATATTTTTTTTACTGAACAGATTCTTCTCAAGCTCCTCAAATAAGGACTCCGGAGTTGGGCTGCTGCAGTTCAAAGCTGCTACACATCCTTCAGACACAGAAACGACAAGGAGACACACAGAAAGCAAGGTTTCAACTTTAAGTTGCAACTAAAAGATTAGTCAGCTTGGAAAGCACAGGTTTAAAAAATTCTTTAATCAGATGAATGAATGATGATTGGATCTTCACAAGTAGAACTCATTATTACATTGCAATGTAAAATCAGCTAATTTATACCGTTGCAAAATCTATTGTGTCAAAACATTTTCCCGTCTTACCGTGAAGAAGAAGTGTGACACAGATGATGATGAGCGCGGCAGACTTTACCTCCGTCATTTTCAGTCCTGGTACAACATTCTTCATTACCTCAGTCTCAGTGATCTCTCCCACTGGAGGATCTCCCGCTGTTGTCTTTTGATTTTATTCCAGAGTGTGGCCTTCTTCATGAGTTAATATTGACTTTGTAATTTGACACATTGTGACATGACTTAAGCCTTTTAGGCTCCCGTTACCGTATTGACATTTTAGTGTTTGAAGTATGCAAATGCATTGGAAATTACCTTTCACGTGTATTTGCAGGGGGAAACAGCGGGGAACAAAAGTTCCTGCTGTGACTGAAACCCAGTGGTGGGGTTACAGACTTGCATAATTTTGCTTTTTGTGGCTGGAACACATTTATCCTGCGTAGGGGGGCTCAGGTAGAAAAAAGAGATTCTAGCACACAGTCGTTTACCAAATGGAGAATAAATTGTGAACAATCCTGTCAGTGGAATAGGATCCTGCTGCCCTGCTGGAGCTGAATAGAGGATGACAGTTTAAATTAGAGGAAGAAATTCCAGAAAATATCTGTCTCTATCTGCATTTCATTCAGGCAAACCATGGCAGCATGGCTTTTTTAAAAAGAACCCAAACTAAAATGATAAACAATGGTGGCATTTGATGACCTTTTTAAAAACTTGGTAGTGTCTCAGCCATCTTAAAAAAAAGCTATCTACTGGGATGTTTATCCAACGGATTGGAAGGTGCTCCCAGACATATTGAGTTGTTATTATAACTATATTGATGATACTGCCAGTTGAGGCTCGATTTCAGACCACATCCATTGTGCCTTTGGATGGTTTTGGTGGGGACTCTTTGAGACAAAATAAAAAATATTGCTATGTCATTCAAACAAAATAGGTACGCAACAACACTAATTTAATTTTGACAAGGCATCCATACATCCATTCATCCACAATCAAGCCATCCATGAACTCTCTCTTTTGAAAGCAATGGCAAAAACCACATTTATATTTGGGCCATCTATATGGTGTAAAACCTTTAATGATGGTACTGACATACAGCATGTATTTTATTTAAATGAAGCACGACAGCAATAAACAACAACCAGGCTGAAAGAGATTCTACGTCTTAATTATTGCTCAGTACACTTTTAAATGCATTACTTTGGCTAACTCTTAGTTAAGTAGTGACAGAGCCTGTGCAGTTAGGACTGGTTGATCCAGATGCACCACATGGTGATGATGACCAGGGCATAGAAGGTGATGAGCATCAGGTAGATGCGGAAAAGCAGGTAGTCAAGGACGTATCCCACGTGACACCACTGGTCCTGCAGCTCATTCTCCTTCTGCAGGGATATAAGGTGAGCTCGGAGGTCTCTCAGGTACTGGCAGATCAGTTGTAGCTCTGTGGGAGAAGCTTAGTCAAACAGAGAAGCATAGATGGATAAATATCATGGATAGACATCATGTGTGAAATTGAACATCTTCAGTAGCATTCAGCTGTACACAAAAGAGGGCAAATGAGGATGGTTCATTAATTTCCTTAAGTAAACTGGATATTTTCACAAAGAATTATTGCTAAACTTCACAAAATGTGTTGATAGGAGTCATAGAACCTTTTGAAGATCAGGCCAGCAGGTATAAGAAAACACAAATTGCTGTTTTCATTCCCTGGGTGAGTACCTCCGCTGCTGGTCGGCTGCCTTTCCGGTGTTTGGCTGACTGGTTGGATGATCGCTGGGCTCGAGCTGCCGTTGGAGCTCTCAGCTTTATCCTCCCGTACTTTGGAAGGCGGACGGACGTCTTCGGGCCAACGGTAGCAGATCAGGTTTGCTATATGTTTGAGGATGACCACTCTAACCCAGTGGGGCACCTCCTGGTACTTCATGGAGCTGTGGTGGAGGACGTTGGTAATGATGACGGTCTCCAGTAGACTGATGACCATCAGGGCCAGACACACTGAGAAATAGATACCTGGAAAAAGATTCAATACTAACTGTTTTTAGCAAATAATCTTTGTGACGTTGTCTGTTAGTTTTCCATTAAATTCCAATCTGCTTGCATTTTGCAAAGTCATACATCAGCATATGTGTATAAAAATCTATATGAACCCTTATCCATCACTACCCCTGACCAATGATCGGTGTTCCATTTGCTGTGCTAGGCAGCAGATCGTTCATGATGAGCAGGAAGACAGTGTAGCCCAGGATGAGAGTCATTTTGAAGGAGGCCCGATCGACACTATGAGGGGGCAGGTAGAAGGACAGGATGTCGATGAGCATCAGGAAGGAGCTCGGGATCAGAAGGTTGACCACATAGAGCACTGGACGTCGCTTTATGACCACCTGGTGAACAAGGGAAACACATTCAGATTCAGTATTCTTCTCTGGATGTATTCTTTCTTTCTCTTGTAGCTAATCTAAATACGCAGTATATGATAGGTTTGAAAGGTACATGCTTTATAAGCATGTTTTTGCATATGCAATAGCAACACACTAGCTTTAAGGGAAATTTTCTGACCCAGAATGTGATGATGTCCCACTCGTCAATCCCAAACTGCAGAATTGAGGTTTCTCCCAGTATGTCCACCAGCTCCCACTCTCCGCTGGCTTCAAGGTAACGTTTTGAGTTTGAAGACATCTCCTCAAAGGTCAGAGCAGGACTAACTCTGACATCAAGTACTGTGGAAAGAAGAAACAGTCTAAGTGAAAGCCGACCATGCAGATCTATGAGATACCTTAAAGATTAGCTCAGTGCTAGAATAACATTCTTTCTCCTTTTGTATTTCTCTTTATCCTTTCCTTTGAATCACCAGTGTTCAGTTATTTTCAATGCCAGCCAGTGGCTTTATATCTGGGTAAGAACATAAATGGTAAGAGTGCTTTTCTCACTGGTGTGCATGTAAGAGCCGAACGTAAAGGTGCAGTTCTGCACATCGAAAGGAAAGCTGAAAATCTTCAGATTGCAGGCTGAGACGAGCCGCAGCATCCGGTCCCAGCGGATATGACCTGTGTGGTTCACATAGACGTAGGGACACGCCTGGGAAACATCGTCGTCCACGCTGGAAGGGTTAAAGTTGTAGATATCAGGTTTGAAAACAATATAGAGCAAACGGAGACAGTGTCAAAGGTCAAAGCACACAACTCTGAAAACAGCAGTGTGATCAAAACAGCTAAATCCTCTTGAGAACAAGCTTCTAATCACACATTTACAATCTGTCTGTGTTCTGGTTCTATGTGGCTGTTATCACGCTCGGCTTAATCATATGGGAGCTCTGGACTCTGGCTGGTCTCAGACCTGTTAGCAGCTCAGACCAAATCAGAAGGTGCCATCCCTGTTCTTTAGAAAAATTCACCTGAAACTCCAGACACTTTTGAAATCCCCCTATTAGGTGGTGTTAAACATGCTGTGGACTCAACCACTCAACTTAGCTCCAACTGTTTTACGTGCACATTCTGTATCCAATACCATCACCTAAAACTAAAAAAACCTTTACAGTCGGAGAACTTACAACTCATAAACAATGATGTCTGGCGTCCACAGCTCCTTGACAGGGAGGGAAATCTTGGTGACACCATCGCATTCATCAGGGTCCCAGACCAAGAACTCGTGCTGCCAGTACTGTAGCGTGCCGACCAGATATAGGGCAAAGACATTTCGAAGAGACATTTTCCAGATTTTGAGTGTCAGTATGTCCTTGTTAGTCACATCCCTTTTGTGGACAGTGCATTGTGTTTTCTCCCTTACTCACCAGTCTCAGCCACAAGAATGTCGTGAGTATTTGCGTTTTTTCATTCTGAAATAAAAAAGCAGGAATGCCTCACAGAATGAACCTGGCTCTTTCTCAAACTGGGCTAGAGAGAAGCCAGCAGTGCACACTAAGGTGGATCTAAGAGATAAAGAAACTTACCACTCCCAGGACCGCATATAGGGTGAAGGAGATGTTGGCAATGGTTGGGTTGCTGAGGTTTACAGCTGGCCTGAAGGAATTAAGGTCGAACACCGCCTGCATGGACTCATGGGTTGGACCGCTGTGGCCTTTTTCACAGGTCAGTTTGCCATGACATGCAGGTACTGTGGGGGGATGTTTGAAACCATTTCTTAAACTTTAAATTTAAGATTAGATTTAGTTGTGATCAAAATTGAGGCCAAAAGCTAGAATTGTTATAATGTAATAATCTGTAAATTACTAACTGACAGATACACCTATCAAAAATACAACATTAAACGTTAAATCATCACTATTATTAGAAAGGAAGGATTTCATTAACAGTTTAACCCTTGAAAATCCATATGTAAAATGTTTGCCTGTTCAAAGACAATGCTTGCATTTATTCCTCACAGTACGCCCTACCTGAGAAAGCTGAAACATTCTTTAAATATGAATCAACACACAAGTCAGATTATTTGTGCAGGTATGATTTCAGCCTTCAACCCACTATACTAAAACTAAAATAAAACAATAACAGCGCTGACTTCATTGAAGAAAGACGCACTGGCGAACAATGAAATGCAAAGTAAAAGATGTTGCTCTTACCTAATATTAAAAGTAGCCAAAAGATGAAGTTGGACTTCTGCTGAAGAAGAATCATGCTGGGAGATTCTGACAGACAAAAAAAACAAAAAAAATAATCCACAGTCACAGGATTTTAAATCTAAGTCTAATGAGAATCTTCTCAGCACAATGTGCATGCACACATATGAGCACACTAGTTTTGTGGCTTCATGGGAAATAATCATGGGCATTAATTCCACAGGGACTCACCCCCACCTTAACTCCACACTCACTTGTAGCACATATTAAAACTCCACAGGACACCTTAATCCTTAATTGATAAAAAATACAACTATATACCTGAACTTTGCATGTATTCGTGTTTACATTAATATCTATCTATCTATCTATCTATCTATCTATCTATCTATCTATCTATATTCAGTCTTCTCAATTTACACATGCTATTTAAATGTAACTTTTTTGTCAGTTTTCCAGACATTTGAAACTGTAAACAGATGCAAGTTAACAGACACAATGGTACCTTACTGATCTTGATCGGGGAAACTACAAGGAAGCTTGTTATTTAACACGTCCAATAACCGCTCACCCATTCTATTTTTTTACACCTCCACGCAAGGGAATACAGCCTGTGTACTCTTGTTCAGTGTGCTGTGCAGTTGGACTGTGTCCTTATTATTTGTGTAATGTTGTAATAAAAATGTGTGACTCACTGTTTCCATTAGGTAATAAGAATAATAAAACGGCAGTTAAAGCACTCAATTGTACGTATAAAATCAATGTTTCTGAAAGGAGGCTGCTGCAGTGGTCAGTGGAGTCAGCTTAGGTGATGAAGCACACATCTGATAAGGGTTTCTGAGTCATGTAACTTTACTCATCACATGTATTAGATATGTAGTTGAACTGAAAAGCAAACTAAACGTAAAATCCCTGAATTTCCTTGTGTGTTCTAATCTGATCACAAAGAGACACACCCAAACGAGCAAATAAGCTTTAATATGCAATTAGAAAACTAAAGACACAATAAAGAAATGTTTTTTGACAATGCAAATGGCGGTGATCCAAGGTGCAATTATAGAGCAATTGTTCCCTAAGGAAACTAGATCCCATCATTCCAAACAACCGAAATCAAACACCAACAATCTGTCAAGTGACAGATCTGTGAATCTGTAAAAGTGAAGGAAAGCTATCTGACAGTTTTGATGCATTACGTTGTTACTGTTGTTTCTGAGAAAATCTAAACTCAAAATTGGATTAAGGTGTGTTGTAGGACTTCATCCAGATAATGATTATGGTGATGAAGCTCACTGATATAAAGAGGATGTAAAGGATAAAGAGCAGTCGGTCAATGATGAACCCGATCTGGATCCACTCCTCGGTGCCGGGGCTTCCTTTCAGCTGCTTCACCACCTGAAGATGGATGACTTGCAGATCTGTGCTCAGGTCCTTCAGCGCTTGAAGAGTCTTGTCATCACTCAGCGGCTTTTTCTGCTCTGAAGTCTCGCTGCCTTTCATTGTGAAGGCCTGCTCCTCCAATTCTGTCAAATTGGTGATAATTGACACGCATGTGACAAGAGATTCTTGAAAAAAAGAGTGAAATAATACTGTAACCTGAACTTACATAACATCTCTGTTCTATAACCCACCTTGTGCATTCAGGTTTTGGATCACTACGTCTTCCGGTTGTTTGGACTTTGGAGGAAGGAATACAAGCCGACCCACGATATGAAGAAAAACAAGCTGGATCCAACGAGGAGGGGAATTGTAGTGAGCAGACCCTTTGAGGAGGTTGGTAACCAATATGGTCTCCACAAGGCTGGCAACCATCAGAGCCAAGCAGAGAGACAGGAAAACATCTGGGAGATTGATGTTTAGAAAAAATTAATCTTTCCAGAATTTTTTCACAGAAAATTTACCAATTTGATAAAAGGAGAAAGGTCAGCAACTTGATGGCAAACAGATATCCATGAATTTATTGCCAACTGACTTATGAGAGGAATGGTGTTTCCGGTAATTGGGAGCATATCATTTGTGCTGAGGAGGAAGACCGTGTAGCCCAGGACGAGGGTCATCTTGAACAAGGAGCGGTCGATGTTTTGTGGAGGCAAAACGAAGCTGAAGAGGTCCACGGTGATGAGGAAGCAGCTGGGGATTAGGAGGTTCACGACATACATGGTAGCATGGCGCCGCACAGAGATCTGCAGGGGCGTTGACAGATGTGTGTAGGTGATAGATAAATGTAACATAAAGCATGAGCACTTCACAACAAGTTTTGACTAAAAGAAATTTTTTTTTAATGTATTTTGTAAATAATATAGGGGTTGTGTATTCCCCCCATTTTTACAATGAGAAACATAGCCTGTAATATGTTTGGTCATCTTTTTGCTTTTTATTTCTTTGTTTAATTTGTAATCAATAAACAAAACATCGTCTTCAGTTTGGTCTTCTAGCAAAATGTAGTTCTATTTTAGCCGTAGTAGGAGTCTTTTTTTTGTGTCTCCGCCCACTTGTCAAAAGGAAGTGATGCAGAAAACAATTAAAAAAGAATTGCTCTTAACTCTTGCTTCCTGGTTATTTCCTGGAAATTAACTGAACATCTGTGCATGCAAATAGATAGGGATGTTAAAATGAGACTGAATAAACAGCATCTACTTCAATTTCTTACAAAGAAACGAATCTCGTCATAATTTGGTGAAAACGTTGCCGGTATAGTCGATTTCTTTCCCGTGATGGCCACTAACGACCATTCCCCCATCGTAGACATCACGTCTTTAGACCTCTCAAGTATTTCCTCCGGTGAAGCAGCGAGTTCCAGTTGTATGTCAGGTGCTGGAAGAACAAAAACAACGATCTTTGTTGATTTAAGCTGCTCACGTTGGTTTGATATGAATTAACTATTACATGAGAGCTCTGCTCATTTTTATAACAGAGTGCCATGGAAAAAATGTCACTCACAACCATGTAAGTAGGGGTTAAAGCTGAAGGTACAGTTCTGAGTATCAAATGGAAACAAGTAGATGTCAAGGCTGCAGGAGCTGACGACTCTGACAGGCTGTTCATCGAAAACCAAGCCTTCATAATTGAGGTAGGTGTATGGGACAGCTGGAGCACTATTTTTCTCCATGCTGTGGGACAAGACATATAATCACACCAATATAAAACATGTCACTGAGAACAAGGAGCTGAGGAATAATAGCTTCAGAAATGACCTAAAGTCACTAAAACCTGACAGATTAGTTTATTTTTCATATCTATCATATTGTGATATTGGGCTGTTAGATGTTTCACAATGAAACTCAAAACAACAATTTTCTTTTATCTACACCAAATATTGCAAACTATAAAATGACACAGGATTGATCTGAACACCCCTGAAATTGCAATCCTCCACCAAACTGAACCTAACAATGTACAAAACACAATCTAATCTAATAACTATAGTGGAATCCGTACACAGCAATTACATAAAAGTTAGAAAAGAGTGGCGGTCGGGTTGCTCAGCAGAAATGGGACTTACAATTCGTTGATCACTATATCTGGCACCCAGAGAACTGTTCGTGGAACTGCAATCCATTCAGAGCCACACGCTTCTGAGTCCCACATGGAAAATTCATTTTTCCATTCCTACCGAACACACAGCATGTTTATATTCAAATGGAACCATGCGCCAAAATATTAGTACGCTAATAAGTAACACTTTCACACAAACTGACTGCGTGTTTTTCCCTTTCAAGACAAGCAGTCTGAGGTTAACTGTCAACGAAGTACTCACAAGCACCTGCCAGATGAATGTGGTCAGGACCTGGGCCTTCTCATCCTGAAAAGGAATCAACATGTGGTTGCCAGCTCATGACACACATTCCCTTTGTTTTGACCATATTGAAACTAGGATATAGATTATATTTTGTGAACGTTGTATCCAAACAGCAACAAAAACCAAAACATCCAAAGCATTAATTAATCCTGACACTAATGTGGCCCCATTCAAATCTGATTCTACATGAACAATGACTCTTACCACTCCCAAAATACCAAAGAGGGTGAAATAAATCCGGATAACAGTGGGGGTGGACAGGTTGGCGACTGGTCGAATCGGGCTCAGGTCGAAGACTGGCTGAAGTGAACGCAGGAGTGAAATCTGATCGGGCTCTGAGCAGTTCAGGATGGCAGAGTTGCACGGGGCTGCAGAGGAAAGAAGAGATGAAATGCCTTGAACCAAAGCAGTGTCAGTTCTGTGTTTATTCCAGATGTGATCATGGGTCAGCTGGAGCCCATCCCAGCTGCTAAAGTGTGAGGGGCGGGGCATGTCATTGATTGACAGGTCATCAGTTTATATTCTTGCTTTATATTCTTGCTAACCGCCACTCCACCATGAAACCCAACTGGAAACAGTCTGAATCAGCTTCAGAGAGAGAGAGAGAGATAAAATCAAACAGAATATTTTGTTTAAATTGGATATGTGATTTAGCTTTATGGGGAGCTCACGCTTTTAATTAACGCGTTATCTCTCAATGTGCTGGATAGTTTCTGCTTTTAGAAGTGAGGGATCATAAACATGTAAATAAAAAAAAGCAAACAACAAGAAATGTAAAGACTTACGGCATTTTATACCGTAAAGTAGTGGTACTTACCATGCATGAGCAGAGAGATGAGGATGACTAGAAGCTTAGAGGACTTGACTTTCATCGGGCAGCGCTAAAAACATTAACATTGGGTCAACAGTCGTTAGTTTTAGTGTTGTGCAAATGGTGAGGGCTGTCCTCGTTTAGGCAGAACTGAGGCTCTCCTTGACAAAAATATATATACCAAACTTAAACAAAAGGGAAAAAAAGCGACATTAAATCACAAAAAATGATTGAAAACCTTTTCATGTTCTGAAATATCCCAAATGTCCCTTTCTGTTATCTCATATGGTTCCTATGTCTTTAAAGATTACAAATGAAGGCTTGTTCTCTGGACTGCAGTAAAAATTTAGTAGGCACCACCTGTTTAACTCTCTTAAAATCCCTGGTTATGACCTATTAGAAGAAGAAATGAATAATCAAAAACAGAAAAATGCAAGGTGATGGGACTTTGGTCAGCTCTGTGATGCCTTACGCCTGTCATGCATGTCACAGTGGGTATGGAGATGCCCATTTCATTAGATGTATTTAAATTTTTGCTTTTATTTTTATATTTGACCTTTATTGGGACACCTGTTTTTACGGAGAACCTGGTTTTAGTGCCAAATAAGAGCCTTACAGGTGGATTATTTACATTAAAAGTCTTTACACATACCATATTCAGTACCACTAACTGAGTTAATGCTACAATAAATCAATTTATTCAAGATAGCGTGCCTATAAATCATAATTTCAATTAATAACATGTTTTTTTCGCTTTAAATTACCATTAATAAAGAAACCGGTAATGAAAGTTTAAGAATATTATAGCTCCATCCCAATCAGTAAGATAGCATCACTATGAAAAGCTCAAACTGAAATGAAAAGAAAAAACATATCAACCAAATGGTCAGTTAAAATGTCCAAGTCATTTTATTTCATGTACAATGCTTTCCTGAAATTCAAGCTTCCAGTGTCACACAAAACAACTAAATATGCTCTTAATGATTTTGTAAAGTAGTTAAATTCCAAAACAGCAATCATGTCCATTAATATTTCAAAGCAGTACTGTACTACATCATATATGTGTGCTGCATGCTGTGTATCCTCTAAAGCAAGTACGGTGAGTAGGTCTACAAAAAATCTTGGAACTTGGAGCCTTTTCACATACAACAGAAATCTACTGGTTGTAAGACTTCACCCAAATAATGATGATGGTTATGAAGCTGACTGATATGAAGAGGATGTAGATGCCAAACAGCAGGCGGTCTATGATGAAACCCACCTGGATCCACTCGTCTGAGCTCTGGTTCCCTTTCTGATGTTCCTCTACCTCACTGCGAATGGTGTGGAGGACCTGACTCAGGTTCCTGAGCTCCTGCAGGGCTTTGTCCTCCTCAGCCAGCTCCCTGCTCTCCAGGGACCGCTCGTCAGGGTTGTTTTTTGCCTCCACAGTGCCGGTCTTTGACTCTAATTTAAAGTGACAAACGGTTGAGTTTTACACCAACAATCGCACAATTCATGAGAAAAACGTCTATCCAAGGTGCTATGTTTTAAAGAATTAGCCCATTTCAAATTGATGACATGATGATCCGCAGCTGAAAGTTACAGATGTTATTATTACTGAGGTCTTAGTCTTTTTTTGTCTTTTTTTCACCAACAGAACAAGTGGCAGTTCAACCTCTGTTACCAGCTGCAGTTCAGGATGGAGAAGATGGAGGTAAAAAAAAACTTGCTGGATGATGTGTGAATAAAACCCCCTCAACAGCAGATTTGACAGACTGATGCTTTTTTTGTGTGTAAACAATTGTATATGAAGGCACATAAATCCCTATATGACGTACCTGACTCCTTTGGCTTCTTGGTTTTTCGTGGCATACAAACAAGAAAGCCCATGAATTTCAGAACCACAAGTTGGATCCATCGCGGGACGGGCGAGAAATTAGCCGAACAGCAAAGCAGATTGGTGATGAGGATGGTCTCCAGTAGGCTGGCAACCATCAGAGCCAGACACAGAGAGAAGAAGACATCTGACGGACCACACACACAATCAATAAAGATTTATAATGTCAGATTTTGGAGACCTGTGATACCTGACCAACATTTGTATTCTAAAAGGGAATGTATATGTAGTGTGAACATGTATTTTTGCCATAAAGTTGTTTTAAAGGCTAGAATTAACTGAACAAATACGAGCCCCAGCCTATATTTGTAAGTAACTTTACTGGTTTGTAACCCTTGAAGAACTGAGCACTCTTACAGGTATCTGTGAACCTCAACGGTTTCCCCGTTCTCTTACTTATTAGAGGTATGGTGTTTCCGGTCACAGGCAGCAAGTCGTTCATTAAGAGCAGAAAAACGGTGTAACCAAGGATGAGGGTCATCTTAAATGAGGATCGGTCCACACTCTGTGGAGGCAGCAGGAAGCTGAAGAGGTCCACCGTGATGAGGAAGCAGCTGGGGATGAGGAGATTGACCACATACATGGTGGACCGACGCTTCACTCTGATCTGAGGAGAGGTCAGCTTTGTTATGTTGCAGTCATAAATCAAACGTACATCTTTGGTGTGGCTGGCTGCTCAACTATGTAAGATCCCAGACCCAAACCCTTTTTTCCTTAATGGAGAATTATAGGGAATGAACAACTGACCAAATAAATCCACTACGTCACATTTACAAAACATTTATATTCAGGTACCACCATGATATATCACCATGTGTAATTTTGACAGGATTGGCCTTTTTTATTAAACTATTTAAAGTTTAAATTGTTCAAAACACCAGTGTCACTGTTGGTTCTTATGGGTTAAATGCATTTTTATCAAAAAGTGTGCAAAATGCAATCAACCTACATAAAAAGCAAGCTTGTCCGTGTAAAGACCTCTTTCATCATCAGTTTCTAGTTTCTTGGCAGTGATATCTATCAGCTCCCATTCACCCATGGTGGTCATCACGTTCTTTGACACATTTGTGATCTTTTCTGTTGATCTCCCGAGCAAAATCTTTATTTCGATAGCTGCAAAAAGAAGGATCAAAAGAAGAGAGCTCAGTAACCCACCTTAACTCATTATCATCTTTTTCATGACCATCCATGATTTTAATGTACATATGTAATTTTTTTTTTAGTATGGTCAAAATGCCTTGTTTCAAAATGAGCTTGGCGAGAAAAGGAAACATAACTGGAGTCTATTTCACATCAAAATGAGAACCCGGACTCACCGTAGTAAATGTAGGAGTTGAAGGTCAGAGTGCAGTTTTGTATGTCGAAGGGGAACGTGTAGATGTCAAGATTACAGGAGCTCACAACTTTGACGGGCATGGTAGAAATCACCTTACCGTTGCTATACAGGTACGTGTACGGGACAGACGGTGCTTTGTTTTCCTCCATGCTGCAAGATCACAGAGAGCAACATTAACTGAGAGCATGGCACCTTCACCAAAATCTGCAAAGTTGAGGAGTTATCCTGTTGGTTTCTTTCACTTCCAATAGGAACTGACACACTTTGGTCAAAGGAGCAGGATGACACAAAAAAGGAACAAATGAAAGACCTTTCAATTATATGCTTATTATGACTCATTATGAGGAGTGTACTCCCTGGACTGAATGTACAATCAATATTTTAAGGTTTTAAGAGAAAGTGAAACTCACAACTCGTTGATCACAATGTCCGGTAGCCAAAATTTCTCTTTGGGAAGGGAAATCCTGCTAGTGCCACACTGGACTTCGTCCCAACTGATAAACTCGTTAATCCACCACTACAACAACAAAATGGTGTCTGTGTTAATCATGAGCATCTCACTCCAACTATTCACAGTCACAAAATAGAAAGTAAAAAAAAAAATTTGGTTTATTCTACTTACATAAGATAACCAAATGTATGTGACCAGGAGCTGAGATTTCTCATCCTGAGAAGAAGAATAACATCAAGACTCAAAAACAATGCTTGTGAGATGCGAGTTTACATTTCCCTGAAATTTTTACAAGCATGAGTGAGGTAATGTCTACACAGTCAGCACACCCAACGCTACTTTCAGAGTCAATGTAAAAAGACAGAAAACTTACCACTCCTAGAATTCCATACAAAGTGAAAAACATGCTGACATTGGTGTAAGTGTTGGGGTGCAGGACAGGCCGGATGGCACTCATGTTAAAGACAGGAGTCAGGGCCTCAAGCAGGCTGATTTGGTCGGGCTTAGCGCAATTCACCTCGATGGCGCAGCAAAGAACTGATGAGACGGATCAGAGATGTGTTTGAAATCCATAAAAACATTAAAACAATATATACAACCTTGACTTTCTGAGCATTGCCTCTATTTTTATTAAAATAACAAGAGTATTTTCAATCCTTTGGTCCAGTTTACAGACAAACTGATCAATATTTCTTTATTCCTTGTTGGACATACTGTGTGTTGCGGTTTGTTTGTAACTGATGCCACCCTCCTGGTGAAAGGAAACTCAAATTATGTATGTTGTGTGTTGCAAGAAATTCACCTGGCATGAAAATGATGAGCATAACCAGCGTTGGAATAACTGGTGGAAGGAGTCCCTAGAATTAGAAAAAGTAGAGTTTAAGAGGTGATGCTCTATTAAAGCCCCAGCAATGAGACTAACTGACATATTGCTTGTAAGAGGTAAGTTACTTTACCCTCTGTGCTGTATGCTTGACAGCCATTTTGTTGTATTTCTTCAGATGCCTGAGGAACAAAGCTGAGGAACATAGAACAATTATCTCAGTTAAAATATCAACTTAATGTCAAACACAATTAGACAGTGAAAGTTTACCTGCCTCTCACCTGGTCCTCCAGCCTTCATAGGACTAAAGCTTGGCTTCGCAGCCCTGATATACACACACAGTATAACCAGAGCGTGAGGCCAAAAAAACCTCCTCCAAATTATGTGGGAGAGAACAAATTCAAGGCAGAGAGGCAGAAACCACAGTTAATGTTATGCACCTCAGTGTGTGACCTGCTGCTGCCAACAACTGACCACAGAAGCGTCAGAACCTAACACCTGTGGTCATAAGCAAATAAACAGAGGACGCCAAAGGCGACACAGGTGTCCTCTGGTTTCCCCCTAACCCTCTTTCCATACCGCTATTTTAAATGTTACATAAATTCTTTGGATTAATAAATGATCTTGTTCTTACAGTATAAAACATAGAATTATGTTGCTCTACAGAGAGACACTGTATTGAAATAAATAAGTATAAGTATTAAATTTAGGTATTAAAATGAATAAATCAGCTCATAACCTACTGTCAAATAGTAAAAGTTTCACAGTTGCATATTCCATTACTAATCCAGTAAGTAGTTCCATTAACATACACTTTCTGTACCAGTTTATTACAAATTAGGGAAGAAAACATACAAACTTTGCTCAGAAAGCCCCCGGCAGGGATTTGAATGGGGGATTCTTACTGTGGGGGGACAACACTAACCACCACAGCACGGTGCAGCTGCCCCTGCAGAGTGGCACCCCAAACTGAAGGAATAGTAAGGACAATAGATTTTTTTTAGGTTGTTGATGTATAAAACACCTAGAATACAATTTCTTAAGGAACTGGTTCAGGAAGAAGTTGAATGCATCCAATCAGTCTGTAATTTCTAATCAGTGATGCTCCAGGTACTCTACTGGTTGCCCACTAACTAAACGTTTGTGAGCTGTTAAATTATTTAGTGACATAGAAAGAAAAATATAGTGATTTAAATGGCATTGGAGATGGTGTGTTTGCAGCTTCAGTTGATCACAAAATGTAAAGACACTTTTTATGGACGGGAGGTTCTTGGAAAATAGTGAAAAGAATCTTTGTTACTGAATATTTTATATTGCGCAACAGCTACCCAAAAGCTTATATAATGACTTGGATGAGGAAAACAAGATGAATGACCCTAAAAAAAGTCTGATAATTGCACATACTGTTTTTCGCATGAGAAAATGACAAAAAAACTTGACAAAAAAAAAAAATCAACAATTAGGGTTAAATATGTTTTTTATTGACAGAATCTGATTCTTTTGCACATCTTTGGTGGGGCAACATGACAGCTTTTGAAGAAGAAGATTTAGTCAATCAGCCTATTTGCAACATCTTTACTAACTAAATGTCTAAAACCCAGCCTTTCACTTTAAGCATTATAGATATATAGCTTTATATTCAGACATTTTTCACACCTATCTAGTGTCTTGACGTAATAAATATCAACTTCTATCCCAGTTATATTCATTTTTATTGCTTTACCCATTAAATCAGCACATTTATTACCATAAAGCATCCATGAAAATGCTATATTATGCATTATACATACTGCATTATATATGTATAACTCAATGGATGTTATTATATGTTTATATTTTCATTCCCTTTGACAGATTCCTAACTTACAGCCCTCACAATGATCTGGCTCATGGGGGCTTTTGACATCAAGTTGTATGAAGGGGCGGTTTGTTTCACCAAGGTCTTCATGGTAGCACTTAATTCTTATTTTATCCATCAGCTTCTCCATCAGGACGTTTATGTTGTCACTTTCATGTCTTGGCTTTTCCATTGGAGCATTGCTGCACCTCTTGCAGTTCTGACGAATCAGCCTCACTTTGACAGTTCCCTCTCCATTCAAGAGACGCATGTGGAAGATCACCATCACACGGTTTGAGGGCCAACTTCTCCCACACTTAGAGCAAGTGAACCTTGATAATGAGATCAAATATGAATCAATACATTACAAAAGAATTGGTGGGAGTAAGATTATTAGTATACTTTTAGACCATATAACAGGGTCAATTTCCTTCTTCATGGTCGCCTTATCTTATTAACATTGGAAATAGCAAATTTTCAGTAGTCATTAAATTAATAGTTCCACATTAGACTATAATTTATTCCTGGGATTATTGTCCAAGTCGTGCAAATTTAATATACAATTTAAGTGACATAATGGACTGTAATAAAAATTAAAATGCTTCACAACCATCTGTTGTATGTACAGTAACAGAAATCCAAAACACCAACCTTGCACTTGTGTTCCTGATATACTCACTCCAGCCCATCTTTGGTGCTTTTGGGGTGATACTGTCATCAAACATCAAACACCAAACATGTGTCGGATTAAGTATCCCTACTTTTGTCTGAAAGATGCTTTCCCATTCCTTTGGATTCATCCTTTTAGTGTCAGCAGTTATCTTGACAAGATGAAGAAAAACGAGGCCAACAGCTGATCTGTGCAGTGTGCAAACAACTTGTGAGAATGAATCAGCCTCTTCAGGGCGGAGTTTTAAACCACAGAAAAGCGAAACTTAACAACAGAGTTTCCTTAAGTTTCGGGTTCCAAAAATGGGTGCACTGTGTGGTAAAATGAAAAACGCAACTTAATCTGGTAAACTGCTGTAAACATTGACACCTGCTGGCCATTTAAAAATCCTCTTTCCTGGATTTGAAAAAGGTTGACACAGCATATGAAAAAATCTTCACTTTGTGTACACACTGATATCGTGTGAACACATTTAACAGAAAAGAAACATAATTTCAAATAAAGCAGGTTGTGTAATGTCCATATTCCTGTCTCTGCAGAGGTACTAATCTCTCATGGAGATGGACAGCTTATGACATTCATTAATTATAATTATGCAAACCTATATCCATCAACTTCTCACACACTATTTTCTGTAATTTCATTCTCATTGCTTTTCTCCAACTACGACAAAGCCCCCTATTATGATGTTGATATAATGAAAATGAGTTTTAAAATGATAAAAGATGATATGACTGAATAAAAAAACATACACTGCACCACATGATTAGATAAAAAATCTTCTTGGAGAGACTTTTGTTGATGTTTGCAAATATTTCCCTTAGAGCAATAAAACAGTTAAAAATAAATGTAACTACACTGTAATGTTGTTTACAACTTTCAGGTGGCGTCACAGAATTATGCACCTACTGCGAATAGCAATTTGCATCCAATTAAAGTCTGAAGATAACGATATCTGAGACAGAATGTACTGATTGTATCATGTGCAATCACCAGCGTCTATAAAAGAAGACATGCAAACGCCTTTTCTTTCTCCCCGTGGGCCAGTAGACTTCTAATCGATGAGCAATTAAAACATGCACACGGTGTTTACCCTTCTAGCCTAATGGAACAAATGCAATCAATCTGGAATTCTAGGTTAGCACACTTTAAACTGTACTGTTAGATTAGTGTTTTAATCTTGAACAATGTAGCTGGCTGCAATCAGTTAAGACTGATGTACAGAGTGATCAGGCCTGCATATAAATACTGTCAGAGTCAGGGGCTGAGCTACAATCACTGAAGTTTTGTGCATTTGAAGCTGAAGACTAATGCAATACCTTAATCTGGTGAGGCCTTGAGAAAAAGGCTTTATATAAATCATCATGAATATATTGAATGTGCTTATTCCCTTCAATGCTAAGTCATCCTCATTCATGAAAGTACACAGTAAATAAGTATTCAAACTTTATTTCTGGACCTGCCTTGAGCAATGAAAAGCGATTTACAGAGCAATGACAAAATTTTTTACAGACAAACGCTTTAACAAGATAAAAAAGTAACAATGAAAGAGTTTGCTACATCTATATAACAGTTATAACAGGCTGTGGATGTAACTAAAACAGCAATGACCATGGTAAAATTGTATAGAGGAGAAGATACTGTAAGAAAAAGCAACAATGACACGAGCAAAAGCTACTTCACTAATACTATCTTTAAAACTGATGATAAAAAAGCTGCTTTCCAAGCCACACAGACTCAGTTCCTCTTACAGATTTTGAGCTGACAGCCCTGACAGTGAGCAGGCTCATGGGGACTGTTGCCATCATAGCTTTTGAAGTGCCTCTTCTTTAGCTCGATGCGTTCATTGTAGCATTTTATTCTTATTTTTTCAACCAGATTTTGCATGAGGACGTAGATGCTGCTGGACTCAATGCAGGGCTTCTCCATTGGTCCGTCACTGCAGTTCTTGCACTGCTGGTGGAGGGGTCTGATCTTGATGGTGCCCTTAGCATTTCTCAGCTGCATGTGAAAGACCACCATCACCCGGTTGGAACTCCAGCCTCTCCCACAGCTGGAGCATCTGAACCTGAAGATGACCAAAAGAATAGATCACTGGCAAAAAAACAAACTGTCTGTTGCTGTCAGGTGAAATGATGCTGCAATGATTTAGTGATGCCAGGGCAGAAGGAAAAACAATTATACTTACGTTGCACATGTGTTTCCAATGCACTGCTTCCAGCCCATGTTTGGACGGTTGGGAAATATATTTTCATCAAACATCAATTGCCAAGGGTCCTGTTGTTGCATCTTTGTTGCCTTGTTCTCAAAGACACGTTTCCACTCTGCTATGTCCATCCTTCCGGTGACAGTTGTGCTGCTGGCTTAAGCAGAAACACAACAGTAACAGCTGATGAGCACAGCTGAGAAACAGCCTCCTAGAATGACTGATCACCCCCAGGATGACAGAGTCTTATTGAGTACCGCCTAGCATTGACTTGGGAGAAAACGAAACTTAAAAGTGCAAAGGGAGTTCTATGCCGAGAACAAGAAAGTGAAACTGAAGGGAAAAGCAAACTGAGATGTTGTTTTGGTAGAATTGGATGCAACACTGACATCTGTTGTTGGGTAGCCATGACTAACCCCTTTACAGCTGGCTATTAAGTTTCGTTTTGGTTAATGAAATCTATGTTTTGTTTTGTTTCTCTGTTTGATGACATAAGATACAGCCTGATCCAACAACAGAGCATTGCATCAAGCAGAATTGAATGTGAATCATACAAATATGGATACAAGCAGGGATACAAGCCTGAATTAAACAGCCTTGGGCAAAATCATTTGTAAAAAAGGTGTCTTATTATGTGATTAAATTAGATCTGATAGTTCTTTTCAATCTCAATTGCATAATTATTGTTGCATTAGAGAATAACTCAATAATTTCAAATGGAATTTTGTACATAATCATTGGCCTCAAGATAAAGAGGTTGAATGCCTGATGTCTTCATTACAACATGTGTAACAATTAACCCACATTATCAAATGATTACAGTCATACAATTTTACTCGTCTCTCTCCTTCAACTCTGTTCTTCTCAATGTCAAGGAGCGTCTATGCTGGATTTAATTGGATTTGGAAAGAGAGAATCGACATAAAGAAGCAGAGAGCACTACATTTTTTTTGTAAAGGTACATGACTAATAATCAAAATTCCTACTTCAAGGTGTGATGTTAAGATTAAAAAGGAGTTGGAGTTTGAGCAAATCACAAAGGTTTTGTACTCTTTTAACCAGGTAAGTGAAGACAAATTTGACACATTCTGAGTCAGCTTTAGCTGATGATACCTCAATAAAAGAAGGGCGTTGAAATCACTCTAAACATAATCGTGATTTATATCTTTATTTGATCAGTACTAAAGGAACTAAAACAGATATAAAAGATGAAACGTGCAAACCAGAAGACAATAAGGTAAAAGGAACATAGAGAGTATTTCCATTTTATTTAATTTACCAAATATACGGGGGAAAGAGGACAAAAAGTAAGTAATTTTTTTTGAAAATATAGTCTAAATTTCAATTTAGTAGTACCTTCATGGGCGTGATCTTATTTTGAAACCGGAAACATTGCACAAAACGTTGCTATGGTGATGGATACACTCGTTTCCAGCTACTAGCCTAGCTTGCTAACAACAACGACTTTCTGTAGACATATGACTCATTCAGACTCAATGGAGGGGTCAAATACGTACATCATACGGCCTAATTATCAGCAGAAGTGAGTTTGCCAAACTGTATTAATAAAAATGTCGGCAAATAAATTTGTTGCCCACGTTAGCTTAAAGAAATCACGGAATTTTCCCAGAATAACAGCCCATATCTGGACAGGATATGGTCGTTTAGTGGGCTCTGCTGTGAATGAGTAACGTGTTCTTGTCTTGTCGCTTAAATTAAAATCTTCCAGGTTTAAACCGGCCATTGTAAAGGAATATGTGCATGAAATCCTGAGGGAGAAGTTGTCCGGAGAGCTGTACGACCCAGAAAATGTGGCAGAGCTGACCCGCTCACTGGCAGACTGCATTAAGGACAAAGTCAAGAGTGAGTGATATAGAATCCATCCTTCAGAATGTATGCTTTATCAAGAGCATCATTTATACAAGTTATAGTAGCTCAGAATAGAAGTTGTTCGTCCTAATTTAAGCAGCTACAGTTGAATAATCTCCAAACGTTATCATTTCTGTTTAATTTAGAACAGCAGACTGATTTCAGCTCGATACACAACCATCAAATATACACTACCAAAAGTTTAGAATGTAAACTCGTGATATTTTATCTCTCATGCTATGGCTGTAATGTCCTTGTGCTTCTTACTGATTTGCACATTGTTCCCTTCTTGTCTACAGCTGCAGGATTTGAGAGATACAAGCTATTGGTGCAGGTGGTCATTGGAGAGCAGCGTGGACAAGGAGTCCAGTAAGACACCTTTAACTTCTGTCAAACACAAGAGCTTCGTTACAGAAGTTCATGAAGCGACAATTATACAAATTCTTGCAGCCATATTTGGGTAAACTGACATAAAAGTGTGAGAGACCAATGACAGCACATTATCCTACTAAATCAAAGTATTTTTTTCTCTTAAACCTTTGAATATGACACCATGATATTTATGAGTCTCGCAGCTCTCCTTTTTGTGTTTTCAGCATGTCCTCCAGGTGTATGTGGGACGCTGACACGGATAACTATGTAGAAGATGTGTTCATGAACGTAAGTGCTCAGGGAGGCGGGTTTGGGGTGGAAGGAGGCCTCTCTGTAAACCACTTTTGAAGTAAAACACTGTTTTTTATCCTTAGGACAGCTTGTTCTGTGTGGTGGCAGTTTTTGGAAGCTATTACTATTGAGGACTGAAATGTGGATGAAGGAGACGTCTTTCATAAGAGGGTGTGTGAGGTGAAGATAAACGAAACAACTCACTGTCGGCATGTCAGCTTCTGAAGTGCTGATGCCTATTTCAGAGATAACCATCACTTCTACTCTAAAGGCCATTTGAACTAATGCATTGACTTCAGAAGGTAGTAATGAGTAAAGATGGTCATTAATGATAAGGGCTTATTATATGACTCATAACAATAGACATTTTTCAAACAGTCCTACTTTCAGCTGTTAATTCATCTTTCCATCTTTCCAGTCATCTTTCCAATCTTTATCTTTGATTTTACCAAATAAATTGCTCAAAAAGCTGCCAATTTGAAGGGTTTGCATATATTTCAAGACATTGTTATCAAGCAGATCTGCTGCAATAATAATTGGCATGCATTTAGCTCTGATTTAATATGCTCCGTGTTTTGACTTTTAGCTGCAGAAAAACAACTGACAGAATGAATCATAATGAATTACTATGTAATGAAGGCTTTGCACCCCTTGTCCTGGACTTAGCACTGACACTACAGTAGAGGTCAGTGTTAGTCTCCGATTGTCAGCATCCTTCATTTGTCGTATTCATGGTAGAACTTACCTGAGCTGTCACGGGCCGATTGACAGGGTCCATAGCAACCTGACGGACGGTGCATCACGTGGCTAACAGGGAAAGCATGCGACCCTCCCATTCTCACCTTTCAACGTTTCTACCGGAATATATATGTGAAGGTCAGCACAGCTGGTCTTAGTTGCACTGTGTTCTTACAAACTACTTTCTCTCCATTTAACTATGAATTGTGTCCTTTGTAAAGACTTATGATTTCCTCAGTAGTAAACAAACATCTGTAAAGGTTTGTGCTTTCCTGGTTTGTATTTAAGAAAAACTGTTTTTACAGCAGGGATATGTTGCCTTTTTGAATAAAATCCTTGATATCTATGTGTCCATATAAATGAGTGTGATATACAACAAAAACTGATCTGTTGATGTTAATCATTAATGTGTATGCAAATAGATAAAAATGCTTTCTAACATGCTTTCTTTGTTTCTCATGCTTAGTCCTCTCATTTTTAGAGTTCCGATAGTTGAAGATATCAAAGCTTGCAGAGTGGCCTCAATGCACATTGTGGTAAAGATACGTTTTTCTTGTGCTGCTCCAGACAGGCATGCACTATCCTCCATCTGCAATATTTGCAGCTGTCTCCAGTTTTCTACTGAGGTCGGGTGTACCACGAAAGGAGATTGAGGTGTGTGCTGTCTCTGCTTCCCAAATATGTCCACAAAATTGTTGTCCATGAAATATTTTGTAGTCTTCCTTTCGTTGCTTTCTCTTCAGAATACTACCCACTTGGTGGAAATCTATATGCCTTTGAGGCTAAAGTCCGATGAGACAGAAGTGAGTGGGGGGAAGTGATAAAATTAGCTAAATCAATTAGTCAAATGAGTCATATGTTGATCACAGACACAGACACACTGTGGCCAGTTTTGAGGCACTATTTCTGGACCAAAAAGCAGAGATGCGGATGAGCCTTAAAATCTTCAAATGCATCTTAGCTATTTTACAAACAATGCTACCTGACTACCTGTCAGATATGCCAACATTTACTTTGTAGTGCAAACCAAATTTGAATTAGTCAGTAATTGTGAAGAAATAACACATGTTCTTGATGTGCAAATGCTTCCAAATAAAACCTCATTGCTGCAAATGCCACAACGCTGAAAAAGGTATAAACAGAATTGAGATGAAAATCACACACCAACGACACACTCGGTTTGGTCAACAGGTAACCCATCCATAGTGCCCAATGGGCAGGAAGCATAATATGCTGAGTGGGTACTAGTTGAAAAGGGCATTTAGTCTCGATAAGGTTAACAGAAGTGGCATTATATGTCCCATATCAGAGCAGGAAATAGACACCTACTTTACAGATGCTTCAAGTTACAGTTTAAAAGAGTAAAGGCCCGATGAGCACAATATTTTTTCCAAAAACCCATATAGACATGTTAAAGTTATGTCTTTTCGACAAAAGTTAAGGACCCATTCATGTCAGTGTAAGTCTCTTTCCAGCACCGGTCTCTGTTGGAAATTCCCTTTTCTTTACTGATTTTTCTGTCTACTTGATGTTTCTGGGCTGCATCCTCTGGGCTGAGGGTTAGGAGGGACCGGCCAATGCGAGCTATATGATGTGAGAAAATGATGTGAAAAGCAGTCAGTTCAAACAGACACACACACACGCACACGCCCTAATGCACAGAGCATGTGTGTATCTGCGGAAATCTGCGGGCGGATGTGTTCCTGTGTGCTTTACTGTGCAGTGTTCACAACAGATCGTAAATTCCAGCCTCACTTCCACGTGAGCGTCTCCACGGTAATGCTGCACGCACTGGCCATTCTCATGCTGCCATTTTAAGATGCACTTATTCATTTGGCATTTCTTTTACATTCTTCCACCATAAGCTCCAACTTCATAGGTACGTAGGAGGGAGATCCAAGTTTAGAAAAATACAAAGACCAAAACAATGTATGCTTTCATTACCTCAAAGACACACGTTTCAGAATGTGTAGGACTTACTTACATAACACTGCATTGCCTCCAAAGACAAGCTCCGTTTATTGCAAATGATTACAAAACTATGGGACATGTCATTTTTTAAGATAGAAGATATAGACACTTTTCTTTGGTCTGTTTTAATGTTTGTTCATTATCCTTGTATTTCTCTGGTCAAGTCTTTTTCTCACTACTCAGGAGTGCAGACAAACTAAATCTCCCAATGTTTTCCACCATCATCTTCCAGGGGATAGTGTGCTGGAAACCAGTGGGAATTCTTTTGCTTTCACTTCATTTGACATTTTACAGGGTTCATGTCGTTTGTGGAGACCAGCCTGCGCTTCATCAGGAACACCAAATGCTTATCAAAACCTGGTGAAATTCAGAAAGATTTCCAGTTGTCTGGGAACCAGAGGAACATTTTTATTTCATTTTATCACTAGAATGTAAAAATGTAAAACAGTAAGCTTTGTAACCATCAGGAAACCCCATGAAATACATTGCCTTGCGTTGTTTCCCTTTCACCAGTCTTAAAAAAAAGGAACAAAACAAAACAAAAAAAACTAAACCAAACTTCAGCTGTAAATATTTGTGCCTACATTCTTTCAAAACTGTGCCCTCTGTTGCACAGAAGCCCTATATAATTTAAGCTGTGGTTTTGATGTTGCTTTTCCTTGTGAATGCAAGATTACAGATGCTGACAGCTGGGTGTTTGTCACTCAGGGGGGTTCGTGGCAATCATAGCTCCGCCTGCAAACCCCTCCATTATTTCTTGCTTTCCTTTTTCTCATCTCTGCTGCTTTAAAAGCAATATTACGGCCGAGAGACTACGGTTTCACTGGGAAGATCCTGTGACCGATTTGATTTGCTTATAAAACTTAGAAGCATAAATTAGCTTCTTCCAAAGTGATTTTCCTTGTGTTAGCTTAATCTACAGTTATTGCTTTTACTGAAATGTTCCTTTTTCATGACATTATCACCAACCCCGGGGAGAACTTCCCCCACGATCACCGTCAAACTCAAATCAGCTGTATTTAAGTTAAATTATTCCAGTCAAACTGGAGACTTTCCCCTCCACACATCCACCTAATTTAAATCCAGAGCTGTTGACAGAGATGAGGCTGCTGATTTTCTATATATTCCTCCTCCTTGTCAGCAAATACCCAGAAACTTTACTGCCTGTGTGCGAATTGGGCATTGCATTTTTTTCCCTTGCAGTAATAAACTCACCAACTTGGATTCAATCTTATTGATGATTATCTTATATTTAGCAAAAATCTGATAGATGTTATTCCACTATGAAAGCACCGATGTTCAAACGTGAACACGGATTCTTAAGATCACACAAAACCCACAACTGAAAATAGCCCCCAACTAGTTCTTTATTCATTCATTCCTGCATGTGTTTCTTTTTCAAAAGACTTCAGTGCCACACTGTTTTAAGAAATTGCTCAGTTCTTTTTTCAAGAAATCCTGATGGCCGAACAGTGGTTAAAGATTTAGGTCTAGAGGGGCGGTGAACATAGTGGAGGACTTGGAGAATAAGGAAAGGAAGTTAGAGAAAACTCTTTTTTCCCAGGATACTTTCAAAACACAAATGTGGAACTTTTTAGAACTGTAACTTTTGTCTGCTGTGTGTATCATAGTCATGCTCCATTCAGTGCTTCTTAAGTGGGTTTTTAATCATGTTGCAAATTCAAATACACGTAACAACATAGGTTAGAATTATGTTGAATACACAACGGAAATGTTACCTTGCTGGTGGAAATATTACCCCATCTAAAATGTATTTATAATCTACTAAACGTGGAGCATCATTAACATCTCTTCTTGCTGAAAACCCGGTTTTCTCTCATCTCTCACCCTCAATTTAAACTGTCTATTTGCATCAGCATAGAAACCAAGCAAGTCCATTAATTTAAAATAAATGATAGTAAAGCCTATCCATTGAGACATGCAGCTTTTCTGGCATAAAGCCAACATATAATAACTGAAAACCTGCCTTCAAGCACATATTCCGGAGCTCAGCTTATTTGACTGCAAACAACCTCGATAATGAATAATTACTTGTATGGTGAGGTATAAATATTCACAGTAACAAAATGAAGTCAATGGATGAACTGCTCAAAGGTCGAGAAACTGATTAACATGGTCATCTTAGTGACTCTTTGTGCGTTTAGTGCTTTTATCATTTTCTAAAGATGCACCTCTTGTGTCCTATTCATATCTAATTTTTCAGACACAAGTGCATTACTGAAAAGGATTCCTCCTTTCATAATTTTAAGAGCTCTCCTCATGATGATCAAAAGAAAACACGATGAGGATTTTTGGCAGGTCTTGCCTCTTATATCTGTTTTACTCCTTTAATACTGGCAGTAGCTTGCTCATTCAACACTTACCTTTTATTTTTTTCACATGAGCGGATCTTTCATAACTCATGACTAAGCTAATTGAATCTGCATCATGACAATATTTTTTAAAGATATATGCTTAAATGTCACATGCACTTAATGATGCATTTGTTGTATTACAGCAAACATTAGATCCTCACAAAGTCTTATTCAATAGTATACACTTAAGTGCCGTGGCGATAATTCCCCCATCATTGTTTTTAAAAAGTCTTTTTCTGAATTACTCATAATCAAGAATCTAAAATACATAGAGTTGGCAGCAATAAACTGTAACATTTGCATGATTTACATTCTTTTTTACATTTGCATAAACTGCATGAAAAGCACTCAGAGATAAGTAGATGTTTGTCTCTTCTAGAATATAATTAATTTGACTATTGTAGCACCCAACGAGCATTATTTAATTCCTGCATTCTTCCCTCTCAGGTGTTTTTTAAAGCCATAGATTATATGGGGCTCATTTATCCGTAAACCTATTTATGTGATATTTATGCTGGGAAACCAAAGAAATGCAGGTAAGTGCCCCGATAAGATTCAGGTCAAGAAGAATTGAGAAAAGGTAATAACTATGGTAATGCTGTTTCCTCTCGTTGAAATTCTTCTCATCTTTCAAATAGCATGTTTTTAATTAAAAAGCGTGTGTGCTCTTCATAGTAATGATTCTCCTAGACCATTAAGATTAAAATATAGCAGGTAGGAAGTTTTTTCCTTGCATCATAACATACATTGATTTACATAACATTTCTATGATCTCAGCTAAGAATGTATCTGATTCAAGTTTTTTTGTTGCACAATAAGAGGTCACTTATAAGAAAATATCTAGAAAAATATAAAAAACAATATTGACAAAATCCCTGCACTGAGGAGACTAAAGGAGCTGAGGCCCAAGGCATTTCTTTATGCACAACAGATTGGAACAATTAAAAAGGTCAGACGTGTCCATGTGCATTGCTCCTTTTCTTGCTCATGCAATGAAAATAGAACTTGCTCCCAGTAGCTATATTTATGAATAAGATGTAATTACTTGACTGTATGACTTGCTGTCCAATGAGCAGCAGCATAATTTCAAG